GGTGACTGCTATGTCTACATTTCGGTGTTTGGCCGCTATCGCTGTGTCGTCAGCATAGAGACTTAATAATGTACCTGGTGTTCTAGGTATATCTGCTGTGTATATCGTGTACAGCAGAGGTGACAGTACCGCTCCCTGTGGTACTCCAGCTTCCGGGTTCCCGAGTTCGGATAGGACTTGTCCTATCCGGACTCTGAAACTGCGGTTGCTCAAGTAAGAAGAGATCAGCCTTGTCATTGCTCCGCTGTACCCGTAGTCTCTCATTTTGTATAGTAGTCCCTTATGCCAGACTCTGTCGAAAGCTTTACTTACGTCCAGGAATGCAGCTCCTGTATATTGTCTGTCGTTAAATCCTGCTGCTATGTACTCTGTTAGTCTGAGTACTTGTAGCTCGCTAGAGTGTTCTGATCTGAAGCCAAATTGGGCTTCTGGTATGATGTTTAGTCTGTCTGTTTCAGCTTGGAGTCTGCTGAGTATCACTCTTTCTACTATTTTGCTGATTGCTGGTAGTAAGCTTATCGGCCTGTAGTTTTGTGGGAATGTGCTGTCTTTTCCGGGCTTCGGTAACATTATGACATGGGCCTCTTTCCATCTATTTGGGAATTTTTTGAACCTTAGCATTGCGTTTATGATGTTTGTTAGATAAACAATGGCTTTTGCTGGTAGATATTTTAGAGCTCTGTTCGTAATTTGGTCTGGACCGGGAGCCTTTTTTGGTGAGCTGTTCTTGATTAGCTCATTTATCTCCTCCGGTGTTGTTGGAGGGATAATTTCGTTTGGGTTTTCCGGTCTTTCTCTTTGTCTTTCGACTTCTTCTATGAAGTCGATGTCTTCGTCTGGGTGGTAATTTAATGTACACTCTCTCTCGAGAGTACTCCTCATTACCTCTGCTTTTTCCTCTGTGCTATATACTATACCATTTTCTCCGTGTAGTGGGGGAATTGGTTTTCTGTCACTTCGTAGGATTTTTTGCAGTTTCCAAATATTTTGCATATTTGGACTTTGTTCTTCCATGTCCCTTATGTGATTTTCCCAGCTTTCACTACGGTGTTGTTGTAGTGCTGTTTTGACCTCTCTGTTTAATCGATTTGCTCTGTTTTTGTCTGCTTGGTTTCTTGTTCTTCTTGCTGTCTGTTTAGCTCTGTTTTTTTCCCTTATCAAGTCTTTTATTACTTGAGGTATATCCTTGAATCTTCCCGTTTGCATTACTACTTCCTGTTCAGTAGTGCTATTCCTGATTGCTTGTTGGATGATGTTTTCCAACTCTAGGACCTTATCTTCTATTTCTCGTGGATTGTTTATCACTGGGACAATGTTTATTCCGGTGCTCACGAGTCTCTTGAAGTTTGTCCACTTTGTTTTCTTTTGATCTTTTTGATTGTACTTTCTTCCTCCCACGTTCCTAGTTCTAATAGAATGGGGTTGTGGTCAGTTGTACCTTCATTTAGTGTTTGTAGTTCTGTTTGTAGTCCTAGGTTTTTTGCAACTACTATGTCTATATGCGTTGGAAGTGCGTTACCTGGGTAATGCGTTGGGTCTGTGGGGCCCATTGCCATGACTTCTTCGTTATTTTCTATGTACGCGTTTAGTAGTCTTCCATTTCTGTTCGTAGCTCTATCATTCCAGTTAGGGGATCTTGCGTTTAGGTCTCCTATTATGATTGAAGGTTCGTCGTTTAGGAACATATTTAGATCGTCGTCGATCAGCGGATCTTGCGGTCTTACATAGGCGGAGGTAATTCTGACTTCTCCTTGCCTCATTTCTAGTCTTATTGTTGTGGCTTGCATGGTTACTAGTTGCGGTGTTAATAATCTAGTATGTTTTATGCCTTTTTTCACGAGTATTGCTGTGCCACCTGCTCTCGCTGTATTATCGTTCCTGTATACGTCGTATCCTGGGAATTTGATGTTAACGTTGTTCGTGAGTTTTGTCTCTTGAATGGCTACGACGTCCATTTCGTATCTATTGACCAGTTCGTCCAGAATATTCTGGTTGGTCCTTATACCCCCTGGATTCCAGGAGCCTATCCTCAAGTATCCCCTATTTGTTTGCGTTAGTTCAGTGCTAACTTGAAATCTTTTATCGCCTCATTTACTACCCTAGTGAGTAGTTCCTTTACGGAGTTCACTAGGCCGTCTTGGTGCTGTCTTGAGATGAGGATGGTTTTCTCACTCTCTTGTGGTTTCGCTGCCTGGGCGTAGGATAGCCCAGTGGGAGCTGTTTGTGGCCTGCTTTGTGTTACTGGCCTTTGTCTCTGTTGTTGCTGTCTGCCCCAGGTTGGACATCTGGGACAACCTCTGAAGTTGGCCGGGTGTTGGCCTTTGCAGTTGGCGCATTTTGCCTTCTGCTCTTTTGGCATCGTGCAGCTCCTTGTTTCGTGCTCTTCGCCGCACTTTACACATCGAGGTGCTTTGAAGCACGCCCTCTGTGCGTGGTGGTAGCCCTGACAGTTGAAACATTGAGTGGGCCCTGTTGCTTTTCTTAATTCCTCAATTTTGATTTTCATGTGCAACAGGTTGGTGATGCACTTTAGCTTCTCGACGTCCTCTCTCTCCACTGTCATGACAAACATCGGTAGACTTCTTTTATCTGATTTTCTAGAAATCATGTTTTTTACTGACAGGACGTTGATGTTGTGTTCCTCCAGTATTTCATCGTGGATGCCCTTTGGGCTTGTTGAAGAGGGTAGCCCTCTTAAAACCATCCTAGGTTTTATATCTTCCTCCAGTGGGAATGCAATCCATTGGATTTTGGTGTCCTCATTGAATTTCTCAATGATTTTCACCATTTTCCTGTAATCTTCGGGGCTTTTGGCCTGGATGAGCGTTTCTCGGCCGCTTCTTGATAGTTTGTTATTCGTAATAACTTGCTCTTTTTGAGCGATGTTTAGGATGGCCCCGGTATAGTTGACGCTCTGTAATTTTATTACAGGCGGCTTTGGTACCCAAGTTTTCTTGGGTACTTCCTCGATGTCCATCTGAGTAGGAGTCGGAGAACGTCGGTCCACCTGTGCATCGTCAACCTGTGCCTCTTCTGCGGGTTTGTTGGAGGGAAGTGCAGGGAAATCTTCTCTCTTCTTTGTCTTCGGTGCCTCTTTGGGCTTTTCTTCATTTGGTTTTTTATTCTTTGCTACCTGGGTTTTTGGTATTGCGCCCGTAGCTTTCCTCTTGGTTGTGGCCTGGTTTTCCAGGGTTTCCTCTTTTTTCTTTTGCTCCTGTTTTTCCAGGGTTGCCTCTTTTGTTTTGTTTGATTCGAGACTTTCGAACTTCTTGTCCATGTGGTCCATGATTGTCTTTTGAGAGTTCAAGATGTGTTCTTGTAACTCATCAATTTTCTTCTTGAGAGTCTCTATCTCTTTGTCCTTCTCTTGGAGAAGTTTCCTCATTGATTGCAACTCGGACTTTTCGTCCTCGCTGCTTTTCTTTCTGGACCTCTTGATAGCTGCTTTTGGGGCGTCGTCGTCGGTGGTTTCTTCTATGCGGCTTCCCTCCGCATGGACTTTTGTCCTCTTTTTCTTGTTCTTGGGGCGTTTGAATTCCCCTGTTGCATGGTCTTCCCAGTCATCTACTGGGAGCTCCTTGAAGATCTCGTAGTTTGTCGTCTCTCCGTCGGTGGCATCTAGGGACAACGCGGTGTAGATGTTACCGTGGAGTTTCCTCTCACGGCAACCATCGGGAGTAGAGGAGTTTGCCTTACGAGTCGGCGGAGACCGTGAACGGTCCATTGTGGGGGCGGGGCCTAATCAAAAAATTTGGAAGAAGGCTTTTTTGTTGTCCGTCTGGCCCGTTGCCAGCACGGATTCTGGGTGCCACCCAGTGACCTAACGCGGTTGTTCACGCTCTAGGCAGAAATAGAGCGGAGATCCTCTTGCGTTTCTCAACTCTCTGACCCTGGGGCCGTGTCTGCCAGATATAGAATTCTAAAAAACTATATCCCACAGTGTCATCCCAACGGAGGCACAGAGAGTATCCCGACGGGCAAAGCCCGTATGCTTTTTCGCTTCCCTACGCCGCAATTTTGGCCTCCGCGAAGATCTGATTTAAAAAACAAATCTCCCCGGCTAACCTAGTTGCAACGTAAGGTTTTGCCTCTGTTTTTCAGGCCTAGGCGCTGTTAACGCCAAGTCACCGCTGCCGTGCTTACATTCACGGCTTGAACTAACAAGTTCAGCTCGGACTTGGTCGTTGCAGCTCCTCGGCGGTGTCGCTCTTCTCGCTGTGGCACGTCTGCACTGTTCGACTGCTGGAGTCGAACTAACTAACCCGTGCAGACTAGTAGGAAGCACGAAATGAATTTTACAACGGAATAATACAAATGACGTACGCATGTATTCTGTGATGTTCGCAATCACCCGATGTTCGCTATTACCCGTCGTTCCCCTACCTTTTCATATATTCGTCATCTAGTAACACAGACCTATGTCTTAAAAGCTTCAGATCTGCGAAACATTTTTCGACCTTTTTTAACCAGACTGGGCTAAAAAAAAAATAAAGGTGGAGTGAGATGAATTTTGCTCGGAGCTCGAGATGACGGTCGGAGATATTAGGAACTACAGTAGACTCCTTGAGGTATTTTAAATGCACTCGGCAGATAGATGGCGCGAGCAATATGATTTTAAATATTTAGTCGAAATTATAATAATAAATTTTTTGAAACTTTTGAAATTATGGTTCTAATAATAGCACTGTAAATATGAAAGTTATTTACAAATAAGCACAATCAAATAAATACGTATTGCCTGTGGAATTTCTCAGACGTCTAAATTTCAGTACTATTTATTTTGACGAAAATACTGTATAATATTGGCAAAATATTATCGTCTTAAAATATCTTATCTTGTCTTTCAATGTTGGTTTCCAAGTTTACAGTTGTTGTTTTTAGCATTTTAATAGCCAATATGAATCTGCTTTTTCTACCTAGCTATTGTTACCAAGTTAGTCGGTGTTAACTACAAGACAAAATTGGATTTTGTTTTAAATCACTTTTCTTTTTTGTTATAGTCAAAGAAGTTACTTGCAGACCTCGGTTTAATATCTCCAGTCATAGAAAAACCAAACCCAACAGCATTTTTAACAGAAAAACCCATTGACATAATCCACTCGGGAAAGTACAACGATGTGCCTGTTATAATTGGTTACAACAACAGTGAAGGTCTTTTCGCGGACATAATGGCGAAACTTAAAATGATTGATGAGCAGTTAGTAGCAAATATACCCCTCGTGCAGATGCTACCGTACGATACGAACTTTACAGAAACCCAGCAAGTAAAGCGATTAGTTGACAAGTTAAGTAATTTTTATCATCCAGAAGCTGACCCTGTTGGACGAATTAATGTAAGTAGTTTGACTTCGAATGAAAAATACAATTATTACATAATAAAATTTTGCTTGTGATATAGTATAGTATTTCCATGAGGTAAGTCAGACCGTTGCTTACACAACCGTTGGTGACAATAGTGGCCGTTTGCAAACCTTCCGGTTTGTTTGCTTACCCTATCTCTAGCCCAGTTATTGTTCAGTTCCCATTTTCAACCCCCTATAAGTGATACTAAATGTGGTAGGGAACATACAACCCCTACAATTGCTGATTCCTTCAATTTTTTTGTAGTTATCTTTTTTTACAATGGCTAGTTGGAGTTATACACCAAATTAGGTGAACATAAGCAAAAGTTTTACTTCTCTTGTCAATCCATTTGGGTAGACCAGCGTTTTTCAACCTTTTACTAGTTGCGACCCAATTTTATATCATGAATGTGTTGCTTGTGTGAGTCCATTTCAAATAGGTAAAGAAATAATAAATAAGACTTACTCACAATCAATTTAATTTAACTATCAGACGACCGGTTTCGCTTTCTTCAATATGCAAAGCATCCTCAGGTCTCGATACAAAGTTAAACAAATGCTGAAATAATAAAAACCTATATTAGGGTGTTGTCTAATAACGATAAACAAAGTAGGTGTTGTAAATTACAATAATTATGCCAATATTACATGTCTGTGGTTTTATTTAAATGAGTAAGTTGAATAAAAAGGTATACAATTTTTAAAAAGTTAAACAGACAAGGTAAGGCCTACAATTTGTTATAAAATAGTCTCTTCGATTGTAATAAATTAATAAATGAGCAAATAAATAAATAAAATAAACATTACTTACATGCCGGTACTCTATTAATAGATGGATGGTAGAACATGGTTGAAAAAATCCATTCAACAATATAAAGTAGTTTCAACCATGTTCTACCATCCATCTATTAATAGAGTACCGGCATGTAAGTAATGTTTATTTTATTTATTTATTTGCTCATTTATTAATTTATTACAATCGAAGAGACTATTTTATAACAAATTGTGGGCCTTACCTTGTCTGTTTAACTTTTTAAAAATTTTATACGTTTTTATTCAACTTACTCATTTAAATAAAACCACAGACATGTAATATTGGCATAATTATTGTAATTTACAACACCTACTTTGTTTATCGTTATTAGACAACACCCTAATATGGGTTTTTATTATTTCAGCATTTATTTAACTTTGTACCGAGACCTGAGGATGCTTTGCATATTGTAGAAAGCGAAACCGGTCGTCTGATAGTTAAATTAAACTGATTGTGAGTAAGTCTTATTTATTATTTCTTTACCTATTCCAATTTTATATAATTATTTTCACCGCGCCCCTCATACAAGAACCCAGGACCGATTTTCAGGAGGGTGGGGTGGTGGTACATGAACTTTTTTCGGTGGGACCGAAAAGGCACTTTTCACACACTTGAGTGCCATAAAGACAATCTCTCTAGATTTTTTTCTAGAAATCGCCATTTTTCTAGAAGAACAAAATAGACCGGAAGCCGAGATGTTTCGAGATAGTTTATTTTGATGGAATTAAGCTACTTGGTTGACATATTAGAGAAACTAAATATTTTGAACATTCAGCTTCAAGAAGCCAATACACATATATTGGATACGAGTGATAAAGTTAATGGTTTTGTAAATAATTGGAATTGTAGAGCAGAAATTTAAAGCGAAAAAACCTAGAAATGTTTGTAAATGTGGATGAATGTATTAAAACTTACAAAGTTAAAGAGCAACACGTCAAAGTTGTTTTTGTAACCATTGAAAATCGTTTAGCGTTGCTGACTAAAAATTTGAAAAGATATTTTTTGCCGACGACAAATTAATACGTAGTTACGAGTGGGTTACGAATCCGTTCCAAATTACACCGGAAGGGCTCTCTACTGCTGAAGAAGAAACCTTCATTGACTTCACGACAAATGATGAAATCAAGGAACAGTTTAATAAAAAGTCCCTCTTTGAATTTTGGGCAGGAGTAAATGATGAGTTTCCTGCACTAAAAACCAGAGCGTTCTGTATAGGTACTATTGCTGTTTTCAACATCCTACCTTTGCGAAACAAGATTTTCTGCGGTGGCTGCTTTAAAGACCAAATATAGATCGTAGTTAAATATAGAAAAAGAACTGAGAACGTCTATTTTGTAATAATACACCCCGTTTTGATAAACTTTGCTCTACAAAACAAGCTCAAGGAAGTCAATGATTTATTATTAAACTGGTTCATAATTTAGTGTTCAGTGCTCTTTATAATTATACCTGTTATATCAGTGTTCATGTGTATTTTATTTTTTATTTTGTAAGAATTCTGTTGTAAATTAGTCAATGTTGTTAATGTTTTTTTCGAATAGGCTCACGCTCCCCCCCCCCATTAATAATACGGCGCCCCCTAGGGGGCGTGCCACACAGGTTGAGAATCATTGGGGTAGACACACACATTATTTTGAATTTATAATAACTCATTTACGCAATGTAACCAAGGACCAAATAAATAATCGTTAGTTTTTCTACAATTGTTACCATATTGCTCTATTTTTAATACGTTAATATATTCTTTATTATTTTAGCTCATAACGGATGCTGTTTTTGCTGCTGGAATACAAATTTCTGCAAAAAACCAAGCAAAAGTGTCAAAAAATCCTGTGTATTTTTATAGATTTACTTTAAATGGAGGCCTTAACTTGATGAAGAAAATGATTAACGATCAACGTCCAGGTAAAGTTATTTTACTCTTCAATACAGCTTAGTTTATTTTTTACGGAGCCCAGTTCAAGAGAGATTAGTTTATTAGGTTGTTTTTTGTATATCATATTTACCGTTAATAAAAACAAAAATATAATAAAAAAAATTTTGTTAAAATCCTTTACAAAAGGTATATAAAAATGCCTCAAACGGGCTATCACAAACACATTGCAAAACGTTTTCGGATTAAACAATCCATCATCAGTGCAAACCTGAAAGTATATAACCACTTTAATTAAAAAGAACGTTAAATAAAAATGTTGACAAAGGTTAGAGCAAAATGTGGTTAATACTTACGGTTGTACATGCTAGTAGCCACCAAAATATATGGGTAAAAACCCTTTAAATGTTATAAATTTGAAGTTGTTTTACATTATTAGTATTTCTAATTTGTGATGGTTAAGTTACCATTGGATAAGTAACATGGCGGCGTATGACTCTACATGAGTAAAATGATCCTGAGACGAAGTGTCTACGAGGACCTGTTGATAACAACTGATCAAAATGACATTGTCGACAAGTTAGGACGGATGTTGTGTCAGAGCAGTCAGTGTAACTTACGGTAGTTGTCTAAAATTGACAGATGTCAGCCTTATTTAAAATTGAAAAAGTTAAAATTATAATAATGTAACAGTATCAACCATCAATATTGTAATGTGTATTGTAAATTAATTAAATAGGTATATTTGTAACATTGAAATATTAAGGATATATTTGTTTTAAGCTAGCTTAAAATAAATATATCCTTACACATGTATAGTTGGTTGCCTATCAATCCTACAAAATTTCATAAATTCTAGTTGACCTACATTAATTTTTAAAAAACCAATTTTCCATGTTACAAATATACCTATTTGATTAATTTACAATACAGATTACAATATTGATGGTTGATACTGTTACATTATTATAATTTTAACTTTTTCAATTTTAAATAAGGCTGACATCTGTCAATTTTAGACAACTACCGTAAGTTACACTGACTGCTCTGACAAAACATCCGTCCTAACTTGTCAACAATGTCATTTTGATCAGTTGTTATCAACAGGTCCTCGTAGACACTTCGTCTCAGGACCATTTTACTCATGTAGAGTCATACGCCGCCATGTTACCTATCCAACGGCAACTTAACCATCACAAATTAGAAATACTAATAATGTAAAACAACTTCAAATTTATAACATTTAAAGGGTTTTTACCCATATATTTTGGTGGCTACTAGCATGTACAACCGTAAGTATTAACCACATTTTGCTCTAACCTTTGTCAACATTTTCATTTAACGTTCTTTTTAATTAAAGTGGTTATATACTTTCAGGTTTGCACTGATGATGGATTGTTTAATCCGAAAACGTTTTGCAATGTGTTTGTGATAGCCCGTTTGAGGCATTTTTATATACCTTTTATAAAGGATTTTAACAAAATTTTTTTGTGATATATGGTATACAGCCAGCTACAGGAACTTAGTTTCCTCGTGAAAAATATAATGTTATTACAATATTCTTTAGTATCGCTTTAATTTCTGTTAACGAATATTATTATGCAACATGCACTGTACACTGAAGACTATGACAACACAGTCATAGTTTTTTTTCAGTATCAAGTTTTTTTTTAATAACTTGATACCGCTTCTATGTACACAAATGAAAACTGGTACGATTATTTATCCTCAACAGTTGAATGTATGGTTATACAGAAGAATCCTGAAGATACCATGGACAGAAAAAGTCACCAATAAAGAATTACTGCGGAGGATGAACACAACCACGGACTTGGTCAACATTGTGAAGAGCCGTAAGCTGGAGTATTTGGGACATATAATGAGAAATCAAGGCAGATACGAGCTACTCCAATGCATTTTGCAGGGTAAAATTGAAGGAAAAAGAGCCCCAGGACGAAGAAGAATATGCTGGCTTGCTAACCTGAGAGCATGGTATAGAAAGACCTTAACACAGCTATTTCGCATAGCAACCAACAAAATCACCATAGCCAGAATGATCGCCAACGTTCGGAACGGACAGGCACCCTAAGAAGAAGAAGAGTGGAATCGATTCCATTAATTACTAATTATTAGTACCTACCGTTCATAGGCGTCTGTTTTGGGTAGGTCAACAGCTATTTTATATTTGCGTCAGTTTTTTCTGTCTCATTGGGGGAACGGACTGGTATTGCAACGATCAGTTTATCTTGTATTATGTTTCTATGGGTTAGGTTCGGTAAGAAAAGTTTGTTCTGGATTTTATGGAGATTAGAATGCCCTTAAAATTCAAAGCTGTGGACTGTGGAGCACATATTACGAGGAGAAAGATATTCTTTTCAGCAACTGATACTCGAAGGGAATATAGAGGGTACGAGAGGTCTGGGACGTAAAAAAATGTCATGGTTGCGCAATGTTAAATAGTCCGCATTATTTAATCCTGACTATTTAACATCACATCTGACAAGACGATGTACGGTGGACGCCTACGCAGAAATGCACGGCACCTTAAGAAGAAGAAGTTACACATGTACACTAACTCAAACGGTTTTGTCCTTATGAATCTTCTCTTTAGTTCAGTGTTGTCAAGAAGATGGGTTGCCTCGACATTCACATGCCTATGCAGCTTCTGCTCGTGACTTATTTGCTGTTCTCTTGATTACTTCGATCGCAGTTTTCATACCCAGGTCCTGGTGGAGGTTGCTGTTACGAGGCGCATCAACAATGTTCTTCAGTACTTTGTTTTGAAATCTCTGAATAATATGTACATTACTACCTTTGGTACAACCCCAGAGTTGGCACTCATATACCCATACTTTGCTCAGTACTTGCTTGTAAATGGATAATTTATTAATAATGGATAATGTTGAATTTTTTCCAATTAGCTAATACAATTTCTTATATTTAATATCAAGCTCCCCTCTTTTCTTTTTGACATGGACTTTACAGCGCAGTCTCGCATCTATCGTGATGCCCAAGTATTTTGTTAATTTCGCATATTTAAATAATTAGCCTTGTTAATTTTATTATATTTCTTTATATATATCTAAACTAAAACAAATCCGTTGGGTGGAACTCATCAGATTTGACTTGACTTACGCGAAGTGTTTTGAAAAAATCAGTTACTACTTGTAACAGTGCATTTGCTTTAATTAAATAAAAAACTAATAAATGTTTATTGCAGGAGCATGTCACGCAGATGAGATGGGATATCTATTTAAAACTGCATTGGCGACAGATCTTAAGGACGAAGATAAAACTTCGATAAAACAATTGGTGACACTGTGGACTAACTTTGCCAAATTCTGTAACCCAACTCCATCAGAAAATAATCTGAATATTGAGTGGAAGCCAATACAGAATGGTCAGTTCAATTTCTTAGATATTGGAAAACAACTAAAGATGGATGTTAATCCAGATCTGGACAGGATGAACATTTGGGACGATATTTATCAGTGTATAAGTAATAAATAATAAATTTTATTTAAAACATGTTCAGAAACGTAATTTTAAGAGGTATATAATATACATTTATATATATATATATATATATATATATATATATATATATATATATATATATATATACAACTAACACAGTTTATTAGGGTTGCACTCAGAATATTGGCCGGGATGTTAAAAAAAACACTCTTTTGACTTTTTTGTCGAGCTTTCGGAATGGTTTTATTCCTTTTTCAAGACACTGTAATAAGACAAACATGTAAATATTTAAAAAATATTACAATTCTTCAGTGTAACTTACTAGTCGTTGAGATTATTTATATAAGCATTGACACTCAACATTTATAACACACATTAAAACATTAAAATATACAATTATGGACAAAATACATTATAAAATATTTAAAATTTATTGTAAAAATAGTAAAACTTGGTTGATGGCATGTTTTACTGGTGTATATTAACTCACTAACAACTATTGGGAGCATCAATAGTAAACTTGCTAAACACCTTACAGATATTCTCACAATTTCCTACAACGAATCCAATGAATTCTATATTAGAGATTCTTTTTCATTTAGTAACTTCATTTATAATGTTAAAGTTCCAAATAATTATATATTGATTAGTTTAGATGTTGTGTCACTGTTTACAAACTTACCACTAGATGCTATTCTTAACAGCATTAAAAATAACTGGAACAACATCTCTCCACATACTAAGATCAGTTTAGATGATTTCATAAGAATGTTAACATTTATATTTGATTCTAACATCTTTTTGTTCAATGGTAATTTTTTTAAACAAATTTTTGGCACTCCAATGGGCAGCAAAATATCCCCCATACTATGTAATTTTGTTTTGGATGAACTTATAACAACGTGTAAAGAAAACATACCTTTTCACATACCATTTATTAAACGTTATGTAGATGATTTGATTTTATCGGTCCCTGAAAACAAGGTAACTGATGTTTTAAACACTTTTAACGCCCAATGTGAACACCTAAAGTTTACGGTTGAGAGAGAGGCTGATAATATGATTCCTTTTTTAGAAATGCTAATCCATCGTGGCAATGATGGCATACTAAAGACGGAATGGTATCGTAAACCTTGTTTTAGTAACCGTTTCATAAACTTTTATTCTCAACATCCATCTAAGATGGAAACAAATTTGGTTTTAGCTTTAAAAACGAGGGTTATCAACTTGTCACACATAGAATTCAGGGACAAGGGACTAAAAAAGTTGAGATCCATACTACAAGAGAATTCTTATCCCATAGGACTGTTAAATAAACTCATTTTCGGTTCTCCTTTTCCTTCACAAGTTTCTGTCAACCAAAATTTTCATAACAATGAGATCCGACAAATGACATTGACACATAACGCATCAATATTACCATCTAAAATAACTTATGGTTGCCTACCCTACATTCCATTTCTGACACCTAAGCTAATGAACATCTTTAAAAATATTAGTGGCTTAAAAATTACAACCAAAAATGTGAAAACAGTATCGAAACTTTACACAAAAACAAAAGATCCTTTCACAATATATTCAGGAGTCATCGAATGTTGTTTATTCTATACCGTGTACTAATTGTAATAAAATTTACATAGGAGAATCATCTCGTAATTTTCATATCAGGGTGATATCACATCGTAGTGATATAAAAACCAAAAAAATCAATGCATGTGCATTGACAGAACATGCACTAACTCTGAAACATGAATTCAATTTCGATGATTCCTGTATTTTGGCAAAAGAAAAGAACCTTTCAAAACGTGTTTTTTGGAAATGTGTTTCATAAAATCTAGCACATCTTGCATTAACAAAAGGTCAGACATAGACAAATTAAGCAACATTTATTGTTATTTACTAGAAAAACACCAAAAATAAAATAAATATTTACCTGTACATAAATTACACCTCTTTGTATAATATGTTGCATACCATTAAGACAGGTTTTAAAAAGCATAGTTCACCTAAGAAGGGCCTCTTGTATTTCTTTAAAAGAAAGATAACATCAATTACACCTAATTACATATTAATGTTTACTTTCCATTCTCTACATGAGTTAATATACACCAGTAAAACATGCCATCAACCAAGTTTTACTATTTTTACAATAAATTTTAAAAATTTTATAATGTATTTTGTCCATAATTGTATATTTTAATGTTTTAATGTGTGTTATAAATGTTGAGTGTCAATGCTTATATAAATAATCTCAACGACTAGTAAGTTACACTGAAGAATTGTAATATCTTTTAAATATTTACATGTTTGTCTTATTACAGTGTCTTGAAAAAGGAATAAAACCATTCCGAATTCTCGACAAAAAAGTCAAAAGAGTGTTTTTTTTTAACATCCCGGCCAATATTCTGACTGCAACCCTAATAAACTGTATTATTTGTTTATATCGACAGTCAATAATATCCAGTATTTCTTATATGTATATATATATATATATATATATATATATATATATATATATATATATATATATATTTATTTATTTTAAGATGCCTTTGAAGATTAATAGATTTTAATGTTAGATATACGTTCACATTTGTGAATAAGATTAGAGGTACAAAATTACCTGATAATTATGTAACAATCTATATAGATGCCATCTCACTATTTACTAATATTACTGAAGACCTAGTATATTAAATTATACGTCTGAAATGGAAACTAATAACACTCCACACAATCTAAAAAAATTAAAAAAAAATTTTTGACATTGCTAAAATTCATTTTTAAAAATACCTACTTTTTATTCAACAACACGTTTTATCGTCAAATCTTTGGAACTCCCATATGTAGTCCGATAAGTTATATATTGGCACTCCTTGTTTTAGATCATATAATAGAAAACACCACAATAAACCTTCCATTTATACTAACCTTCCTATACAAATTTATCGATGACATTATTTGTGCGGTACCAAACGATCAGGTCGACACCATCTTAAATACGTTTAACTCTTTTAATGACAAAATACAATTTACTATTGAAAGAGAAAGTAACAATAGTGTACCTTTCTTGGACACCAAAGTAATCCGCACGGAAGACAATCACATAATACTAGATTGGTACCAAAAACCTACTGCATCAGACAGATTTCTAAACTTTTATTTAACCACCCAAAAAACTAGAAATATAGTACAGTTATTGCTATAAAAAAAAGAATACCCAATTTATGCGACGACCAGTTTCTAAGTAATAGTAAGAGTAAATTACTTGAGATATTTATTAACAACGGTTATCCGAAGACACTTGTTAAACAATTAATTTACAACTCGCACTATTATGATGGACCCTTGGATACAGATGCTCTACAAAACTTTACATATAAAAGATTGTCCTTAATTGACAATCTAACAAATAAGATTACAGCCATCTTCAAACCATACAATAACATCAGAATTGGTAGATAAAGCGGTATTAGTAACAAAAGTCTATTTTCTCGTGTCAAAGATAAGACACTAGTAATATATACTACCAATACAATTTATAAAATACCGTATTTAGGCTACGACGGTTGCTATATTGGACAGACGAGCCAATGGTTAAACAACGTATTACCTAGCACAAAAGTGACTGCCATAAAGGTAAAAAAACACATGCGCTGTTGTCGAACACTACATCAACACAGGTCACAAAAAATGTAATAAATTATCAGCTAAGGAGCGTCTACAGTAATATTCAGCAATTCACTAGGAAAAAAATATTTCAAAAACAACAGCATTTTTACGAAAATCTCCAAAAAGCTGTAGATAAAAGAATGAAAAAACAACATTAATTATGTATACAAAAAATAAATACTACACAAAGTTTTATATCAATTATAGACAAATACTAATATAAAGATATATTACAAACAAGTATTCGACGTAAGAGGTTTGTGTTCAGTAAATATAACTAGTGATCAGAACTACTTCTGGAAAAAATACAGTTAAATATTTTGAAGAAATGTCAAAATAAACCACCACAATTTAAAAAAGTATAAGAACAATTACATGATGACTAGACGAAAACATATCAGATCAGATTAGAAAAAATTTGCACAGAAGTTTAGATACTAAACAACTAAACAAGAAACAATATAAACACAGCGACAGAAGAGGGTCACAAATAGACCTCTTAGGTTGAATGTAAGGGTGGTTAGCGTCCACTCATATTGAATATAATCTAGGCAGAATAGAGGAATGCCTCAATGAGACAATATGGAGAAAGAAATATTTGAAGGAACAAACAAATTATGCATATACAAATCTTTACCCCGAACTATATTCACAAGATAGTATGACACAAATCGGAACGTTAAACAAAACTAGGAAGTATAAATAAATAAAAGGAACAGAAGGAATACAAAAATATTTGTTGGTAACATGATATATACCAATATATTAGGTACATTTAGGTACACAGTACATATAATACATATGAATAATTAATAATAAAATTAAAATATTTTATGGTAACTATTTTCTTAGAATCGTATTTAAACTACTATAAAAAACATATTGAACTATCTTATTTATTGGTTTACGTTTTTCTTGCGATCACAATAAATATTAGAATTAACCATCACAGTTATATCACCTTAAAAAATTACTTAAAAATTAACTAGTCATTAAAAAGTACCTTATGGGTGCAAAATCATTGTATTCGGGAAAATAAACTTAGTTTATACCGAAATTGTAATTAATTCCTAACACAAATAGTAAAAGATATACAACTGCTCAACAATTGAAGTTGACCTAAATCCCAATTTACTGAATCATCAATTACTGAACATCAATAATTTGTTTTAAAGCAATTCAATTTAGCGAAAGATAAAAAATGAAAATTAAACTTCAAATTTAGTATAGATCTTTTAATGCAAATTCAATTCTCTGTAAATTTCAGTAATGAGAAAGTTTCTTCTGATGCCTGTTAGTACTATGACTCCATATGCCAGGTTTTTTAGTAAATTCTAAATAAAGTTTTAGTCTCGAAAAAATCTCGAAGGTGCTTTTACCCAAAGAAATGAGTGGCATTATGTGAGTACATAGACATTAGCAGGGCGTTTGGTAACACCTCATTGAATTATCCTTTTATAGACTACAAGCTCCAGGGATTTTTTTATGGGTCATTTAACCCAGCATGAATCAAGTATAAATCAATTCTACAATATATAATAACAACTTTAAAAACTATGCCGTAAATTATTATCGGTACAAGTGACTACACTGGTAAGGTATACTTACCACTCCAGGTAGGGTGTGGAGCATTTTGATTAAACAAACATATATCTGTTCATTCTTTCAATGCACATCCTATATTATGGGGCAGTTTCGACCGTATCAATACACAAACAGCCCTAAACACTTTAGAATCTAAGACTGAAACTCAGATGCTCAAATTATGGTATCTCATTTCCGAACAAATTCCAAAAACCTCAACATTGGAACCCAAAACGGTGGTCCATAATTTTTCTGATACCACTATTTTGACAATTGCCACTCAAGCTTAAGCAAAAGGTTTAAATTACTCTGCTACCCCAAGTCACATTCCAATTGAGACAATCCTATGTCAAACTGAAGAAGCCATCTCCAGTTTACCTTCCGAAGATGCTGAAATAACCAGACAAGACATCTCTAGAGTTCTCAGTAACTCAAAGCCTCCTACTCAAAACATTAGCCAATCCGAGAAAAAAGCACTGAAATAACTTCAGTCAAATCCAAACCTAGTCATTTTTCCCGACGATAAAGGTAATGTCTTCGTCATCCTAAACACTTCTTCATACATTAATAAACTATCAATATCATTAACACTCGAGACTACAAACCAATTCCTAATAATCCAACAACCTATCTGGAGAAAACAACAAAATCCATTACTAATAAAACCTCTCTTCCTGTAGACATAAAACAATCTTTAATTCCTCGTCAAAAGTCCTCCACAATACCTCGAAGATATGGCCTGTCCAAAATTCATAAACTCGATATTCCTCTACGTCCCATTGTCAGTACATGCAACTACCCTACACAACCATTGGCCAAGTACTTGGCCAAAACCCTACAACCTGTCGCGGAAAATGCTTCATCCTTCTTCAAGAATTCTTTTCATTTCATCTAACTTCTTAAAGAATACCTTTATCACCGTCAAACATTCTAGTAAGTTTCAATATTGTTTCACTCTTTAAAAATATTCCTACAGATGAAACCTATTTTATCTTCCAAAATCAATTCTACAGACAAATAAATGGTGTGTCAATAGGCTCCCCTCTTTCATCAGTAATTGCCAATACCTTTATGGAAGACTTTGAGACCCGAGCACTATCCACGTCAATGTTCAAGCCCACATGTTGGCTACGATATTTTGACAATACATTCGTCATTTGGCCCCATGACAGAGATGCTTCGGTGTCTTTTCAAACCCATGTATCCCAGTATATAGTTCACGATGGAGATAGAAACTGATTTATCCCTACCGTTTCTCGACGTTATCATAAACAAAAACCAATCCCAAGGTTTTAACTACTCTGTTTATCGAAAACCCACACATACCAATCGTTACTTGCATGCCAACTCTCACCATCCACCTTCACAAATTAATTTATTTATTAATACCCTTGTCTTTATATATATATATATATATATATATATATATATATATATATATATATGTATATATATATTTATATAATAAAACCAACTTGGACTTATAAAGTACAACTATAGGGTGAGAAGTAGTCAACAAATAGACTGAAAATATAGTGAAAAGTTAAATAAATTACTCTGAACGATTATAAAAGCTTGCAGATACGTAACCAATAAAAAAAAACACAAAGATTTGTCCAATAAATGGGTAGATGACGTCATACAAGAATACGCAAAAAGCATGAGAGAAAACTGATCAATTATATACCAACGCAAAAAGCCATTCAACTTCTGGATTACTCAGGAAATCATAGTATTAAAACGTACTAAACCATAAAAACTTGTATAGATGTGTGAACAACAACTGTACGTATGATAATTGTATAGGTATTTAGTTGGATTAAGTTCTTAATCTTAATTTTGATTTTAAAAAATTGTAAAAAAATTGTAATAGAGGTAACAAATATTCCTATATTATTAATTCGGCCATAAAAATAATTAAACATAGTAATTTTGCAACCCATAAAGTACGTATACTGTTTTTTCTAAAATGAAATTTTAAATCTGCTAGAATAAAAATATTGCTTCATATTATGTTATAGAACAAAGAAACTGCTCTGATTTTTTCATGGCTTGTAACATGGTAAAAAGCTATCAGATTTTACTATAAAACTAACTTAGAAATAATAATAATTCTCTGTTCCTTAAATATAATAACGAAGATTCTTTCATTCTATGTCTTTCTCTCCCTTCCAGTTCGTCGTAGAGATCTCGTTTTGGATTTGATCCATGGCAAGTAGTAGGATAACCGAGTGTAAACGTCGGGAAATCCAGGCTTGGCACATCCTGAACCGAATGAAGTAATTCCTGCTAGGATCCATCTTCCATCTTGCATTGCACATTGCAGAGGACCACCTGAGTCACCCTATAAACATAAAATACAAATGAAATAATAATACTATCGAATAAATTCTTTGATACAATGATACAGTGACAAAATATATATATTTTTTTAAATAATAATGGATACAACTATTTCCACAATCTTTAAAATTAACAGTAGGTTAAAATCTTAACAATTTCCAGTGTCAAATAAACAGAAGTTAGGAATGGATAGAAAGAAATAAAATGTGCAAAAGCAAAAAGAGAAGGTCAGAAAGATATATGATCGGAAGAATGCAACAAAAGAAAAAAAATAACCTTACAGAAATATGCTTATCCAACGAAATAGAACAACTGTAGATAATTACAGACAAAGAAAAGAGAAGAAAAAAGGATACACAAAAGAAAACATAAAATTACTTTAATTAAGACCCTAAATATAAAAAAAAATTAACAGCAAATGGGAGCAACGGCCTAATGCAACGAAAACCGAAGTGTGCTGTTTCCATCTGAATAATGCCCAAGCCAACAAAAAACTCTCCATCCACTTCGAAAAACAGACTGCTCACTCATAACTGAACACCAAAATATCTTGGAGTGACTCTGGACAGAACATTGAGTTTTAAAGAACATCTTCAAAAAATGACAGCAAAGCTGAAAACGAGAAATAATATAGTCCAAAAGCTATGTGGCACTACATGGGGGTCTTCAGCCTCCGTACTCAGATCATCCGCTCTCGGACTTGTATACTCGGTGGCTGAATATTCTTCCCCGGTATGGCTCAATAGCAAACACACAAAGATTATTGACACTCAATTAAACCAGACAATGCGAATGATCTCAGGTACAATTAGACCCACACCGAAACTATTGGCTTCCCATTCTGAGTCACATTCCACCGCCGAAACTGCGAAGAAGATAAGCTTGATATCGAAATAAACAGACTGCGCTCCAGATATCCTCCATTGTTAAGAGCCAACTCCTTACATCAGGAACATTTCAACCTGACCAAAGCTTGGAGAACACAATGGGAGAGCGACTCACGGCAGGAAGCACATCAAATGGCCTGTATCGATCAGAAACCGCCAGGCTTTGAACTGACCGCAATACATGGACAACGCTAAACAGAATAAGAACAAGCAGCGGTAGATGTGCTGACAGCTTATACAGATGGGGAAAAGCCCTTACTCCTGAGTGTGACTGTGGTGCGCAACGACAGACCGTCCGTCACATTGTTGAAGAATGTCCCCGAAGGCGATTCCGTGGAGTTTTCGATGAGTTCCTGAATGCGACCGAAAATGTTTTACATTATATTAATAATACATTAGATGTTCGTTTGTAATACTTCATGTAACGTTTTTATATTGATTTTTTTAATTGTGTGTTCTTATTGTATGCCATACGATAAATAAAAATAAATAGTAATGTGTTTTTTATATTATACCACTTTTTATTTACATCTATAATTTGTTTGTTGTCAGTTAGTGTTTTTTGCATATTAACATTATTTTTTATTTTCGTTTTTATTTTCTTCGTTTTGTAGCATTCCTACGTCTAATTTTCGGTTGTTGTTTTCTGAGTTTTATTTTCTTAAATTTTATTTTCACGTCTGCCACTAACGGATTGTGGTCTGAGTTAACATCTGCTCCAGGATAAGTTTTAACTGAGGTTATGGAGTTTTTATATCTGCTAGTTACAAGTATAAAGTCTATCTGGTTTCTGATAATATGGTTTTCTGTATGTGAAGGAGACGTCCATGTATAAAGTCTTTTTTTAATAAGCTAAAACCAAGTATTGGCAATTACCATATTCTTTTCTGGGCAAAATTCGATGAGCCTTTCTCCTCTCTCGTTTTGTGTCCGAACTGTCCAACTGTATTTTCAACTGTATCCACTCCAATTTTTGCATTAAAGTCTGACTTTAGTTTTGCGAAATTTGTCAACGATTGCTAATATTATATTTTTACTGGAGACCGCCTGGTCAAGCACTTACCGAAATTTTTTAGATACTTGTTTCAAACTTGACCATTATCCGTATGCACCGAAAAATTACTGTATGTTTTCTATATTTCTTTAAAGCTTTCTTAGCCCTTCAGAATCGATCATTAAATATTAGCTATATTATCTCATGAAGCCGACTAGCATCTTCTTCTGTTGTTTGGTGATTAGCCGTGGCAATAGTTACAAATTATCTGGCGATTCTTATTTTTTTCATTCTTTCTTTACTATCAGATCTAGATTTATTGTGTCCCATTTCTGCCTCAGTTGGTAATATAATTTTATTCAGTTTCTGTTATTTGGCATTTTATGGAATTTATCTTCATTTGGTGTAAAAGTTTCTTCAATCACTATAGAATTTTTTAATTTTCAAGCTGCTCGTACAGCTAAATCATAGTAACACCTTTGGGTAGCATCGTCGAACGAATATTTGCCAATTTTAAAATTGTGTCTTCTTCTTCTTCTTAGGCATTTTCTCATTATGAGTTAGCCGTTTTAACACTCTACAGCTTTTTATCCTCCCAGTCATCTTCTCTGTATAACAAATTATACAGTACGATGCCGATATAACGTTTATCTAAAATGTACGTTTCAATTTACATAAACTATTTGTTTATCCATCCATCCATCCACCCATGGCTTTAAACGTGAATGGTAACATTATCGAAAATATCGAGAATTTTTCGATATCTAGGGTGCTGGATAACGAAAGATATAGATCCAGACATAGAAATAAAATCGCGAATTGAACAAGCAAGAAATGTCTTTTTAAAATGAAACAAATGTTTACGTCCCAAACACTCAATCTCAAAATCCGATACCGAATGCTGAAATGTTACGTTTACAGCACCTTATTATATGGAATGGAGGCCTGGGACCTTCAAAATCAACTCACTAAGGCGTTTGGAAAGTTTGGAAACCTCATATTTGGGACACATATACAGAAATGAGAAATACCAGCTACTGCAGCTTCTTATAGAGGGGAAGGTAGAAGGAAAACGTGGTCCTGGTAGACGGCAGGCGTCCTGGTTGAAGAACATTCGTGAGTGGACTGGTTTGGATTCTCAATCTTTAATAAGAAAAGCCAGGGACAGAAATGATTTTGCTAAGGTTATCGCCAACCTTCATTGAAGACGGCACCCAAAGAAGAAGAATTTGTTTATATTTTATATTTATTCGTTCAATTGCTTCTTAAATTATGTTTGCATACTTAACCACTAAATAACAAAAACCGGTTTATATACTGAATTTCAAAACTTTTTTCTAGAAAACTGTCAAAGTTTCTCAGATCCGACAATTATTGATGACTCACTTACAACAGTTTGAAATCTAAAAGTGTTTTAAACTATCGTTATAATCCTTATCGTACAAACCTTTATATATTTTGGATCCGATATGGATTGTAACGGCAGTGTAAAACACTTATAGACTTGTAGAAAGTGTTAATTAATAATATTTTTTATTTACCACACAAGTTCCGCTAGATCCATCAAGATGTCCCGCACACAGATGTCCAGATTTAATATGGACAGCATGGCCATACTTTTTTCTACACACTGCATTGTCGTGCACTGGAACTCTAGATTCCAATAACCTAAAACAAAAGAGATTAAAGTATCCAAAAAACGTTTGTTGTATACTTCTTTTTTTGCTTATTGGCTTTGGCTTGGAACTTTTAGCCACGTAATTACATATGAATATTAGTATTCATTCATACAGTATTGTACAAGGAGGACAGTTTTCACGTTTAGGAGTTCATCTGAGCGGCTTTATTCAACAAACAAGACATAAACCACGGTTAGCTAGGTGGGCAACAAATATGGTAAAGATACTAAGGAAATATTCATGCATACAATCAATTTTACACTCTACTTTGAATTTACTTTTTACAAGAATTATCATAATTTAAAAATTTTTTATCTTCACTTAATAGAAGATTTTCGTTGAATGGTGTACTTAGACCCTCTTTTATCAATTCTTTGAGCAGCCACGTGCTTGTATTACGATGTAGTGTGCAGTTTAAAATATGCGATTTAAATCAGCTATACTAAGTTCCACACTCTCATAAATTTATTGGGAGAACTATTTTGTGTAGATGTTTCGGAAAACATTCATGATCTACTTTTAATGTTAAGACAGTTGACACTGTGTTTCTGCTTAGTGTAACATCTTTGTAAAATTGTTTTACAGCTACTGTTGGTTGTAATTTGTATAAATTAGTTCTGTGCTTTCACCAAACTGAATCCATCGTCTGTCCCATTTAAATTTAATATCTTGTGTGATAGAGGCAAGTAGGTCACATGTGTTGAATTATTCTATCACCAATAGCTGTATGGACTGATGTGAATGGATTTTTAGCTATAGAATTAGCAATAGTATTGCCAAAAATATCTGAGTGTCCCTTAACCCATACAAATTTAACGCCATATGGATCTGCTAGTTACTAACTGTTAAAAAAATTTCTATTTTGAATATTGCTAATAATTGTAAATTTAAAATTTTGTAAGGAGTGTAATACTGACAGTAATCACTACATATGACAATTTTGTTGTTTTCACAGCACAATTCAAGGGCTTTGTATATAGCACATGCTTCAGCAGAAAAGATACTGGATTGATTATTCAAAATAAATGATTTTTTAATATTCATTTTTGGTACTAAGTAAGCACTGGTTGTCCATGTTGGTGATAATGACCCATCTGTATAGATCACAATATGGTCTGAATAGCCACTTAAGATTTATTTGTGAGTAGTGTAACAAAATTCGTTTTGGTATTTAGGAATAATAGTATTTGTAGCTAGAACACTTGTTAGATGTGGTATATCTAACGATTCTTAGACCATATTACAAGGGGAATTTATTTACTTGAGTTCGTTGCAAATTGTAATTGGTTATACCCGAGGTGGAGAGTTTTTTTAAAGAAGTATGTGGATGTTAAATCAGTTGTATTTAATTCATTATATATTTTTGTATATGAATGCACGTTGTATATATATAAGTGCCACGATAATGTTGGTTTAGGAAATATTTGCTTGCCAGATATGTCTGCGCGATAAGAGTGGGTTTTCAGATGCTAGAACTAGGGTGGCTTCATTTGGAGTGCTTTTCGTCAATCCTAACAAAATTCTTAGAGCTCTAAATTGGATTATATCAAGTTTACATATACCAAATATACCATACATATATACCGTTTACATATACTCATATACCAAACAGCAGTAATCTAGAATAGATTTTATATAGGCTTGATAAAAATCCAATGCAATGTTTTCATTTGGACCCCACGATCTTTTATATACCATTTTAAGAAAATTAATACTATTTTTCGCAGCAAGCAATTGTATAATTAATCTGTCCAAAGCAATTTTCTGTTAAGTACGACATCAAGATATCTAAATTCCGAAACAATTGGAATATCATTGCCATGTAAGGTTACAACGTGCTCTTTACTAGGGTGTGTTACATTATAAACGTCACATCTCTATTAATTTATATTTAAATAACTATTTCATTTTAATTTTCTTTAGTAATTTGTTTATCTTCAGTTAATTTTTACTCTTTTTTTATTTAAAAAATAGTTGGCGCCCTCTCTGTTCCGCTATATTTCTTCTCCTGTTTTCATTTCTTCCTCTGTCATTATTTACTCTCTCTTTCTGTCACGTAGAATAAATATTCGCCCTCTCTCTTTGTGTTCTATGTTGACAGACAAGCTAGTTCATGAAATAGCAACATCCTGTGACATCTGTGCTAACTTCATTTTAGTTTCCCACTTTCTGTCAGTTAAATATTCTAATGTAGTGGGAATATTATTGTTTGCCTCTTTGATATAAAAAAGGCAAAAATTATAATTAGACTCATTTTATGGTCTACAAATTCTCTTGGGGTAAGTACTTTCATTGTGATATTTATTCTATCGTTCTGACCGCATTTCCGATATTTGTAACCTTACTTTCTTTAGAAAGCACATTGTTTTTTTATATATATGCATTAGGACTCTTTAACAGAATTTAACTAACAATGATAGTAACAATCATATCTCATTTTATCCTTGCCATACGCTATTTGTTTAATTGTAACTTTGTAAGATAGCAAGGAAGTCAAACTCCTCTTGATGTGTCTCTAATGCTCCTATTCCTTTTGTGTTTTAGTTTATTGGGAATATTCAACGTTTATTGGGAATAATAATTTAATGACAATTTTATTTGGCATTTATTTATTGGATTTATTGGCATATTGACAACGTTGTTGGCTTTATTGGACTTCTACTGGACAGTTTAATCAGAAAACAGGATCACATGTAACTGCAGCTCTCCAGAACTACAACATTCAATTGGAGGACCTAGCAGCTAGAGCACACAAGTAGCCCATCAAACGAAGCAATAAGTATTACATCAATTGTTAAGTTTTGGCAGGGTTAATTATTGTGTTTTTATTTTTATTCTTTTAAATAAATATGTTTGGTTAAAATTTGTTTTATTTGCTATCAACTGAGAACTCAGGTTCAATCCCTATTTTAAGAGAAGACGAACTCACCCTTGAGATACTGAGCTAGGCAAGGTATAGACGATAAGCTCCCATGGTTGATTGAAGTATTATTTTTACAATATTACTTCAATTCTCTTTGCTAGTCTTATCGTTACAGGTGTCATACTGTGTACTTCTAATATTAGAAAGTTTAAAATTTTATTTGAATTTTTTTAGATAAATTATTAGTCTACTATAAATTTTATGTTAGAGCTTGCGTGTCTCCTCCTAGGTTCTCTATTTTTTCTAGATTTACTTGATTATCAGCTTATTTATCTGTATGTATAAATATCGTTTTAGCCTCTGTATGTTTGCTTCTATTGGTCTTCACTAACGTTTGTATTTCTAGATCAATGTCTAGTTTATCTCAGTTAAAACAAACCGCTAGTCCTCTGTACCAATTTTATTATGCACAGTGAGGTTTCGTATAATTTTGTGTTTGTGGGTGATACAAAATCCATCTTAGCGTGGTCGTTTTGTTTTTTTATAATTCCTATTTTATAATCCCGCATTGATATGTTTTACTTCATTATAACCTGTAATATTTTTATGGCATAGTTTCATACAAAAATTTATTTGGTCCACTTCTAGTTTAGGAACATAACCACATCCTTTGCGCTTTCTGGTGATTATGAATTCTTCTCGTTTTCTACATACCTTTCTCAATACTATTTCTTAATATGATCAAATCTCTAAAACTGCAGTTTTATTTTGGTTAAATTAAATAACTAAATATTAAGAATCACACTTACCTGATTGATAGCATTCCATCTTCTGACGCCCTTCCCCATCCTGTAGCATAACACAGATCCGTTTGGTTGTGATGCAGTCTGGTGGTTGGCAAGCAAACTGCTCGAACTCTGCTTTCCTTTGTAAATTTGACTGGACGGGACAGTTTCATAAGAGCTGAAATTTTTTAGAAAAAATAAGGCAGTACGCTTGGATCAACTTTTTTACAGTTATCATAACGATATCATTAAAAAGGTGGTATATCTATTGGATTTTAAATTAAAAATGAATCAAAATAATATTCTCATCGGCACGTTGTTGATTGTAATAATTGATTTGAGAAAGTAAACAATAATTTTTTATGGTAAAACGCAACTCGGTCTCATCTGATTTGCTCCTACAATTCGAAAATTACAGAGTATGTTGGTAATTAATAATTATAGGCTAGTATATTAGATATAGAAAAATATAGATTATGTCTATATAATATTAAGAAATTCTACGTAAGAATACGTAAGAATTAGCAAGAACTATAAGACGAGAGAAGAAGGATTCTTGATGTGAAGGATCTAAAATAATATGTAATATGTATTTATTTAATATGTAATTTAATATGTAATTTAATATGTAATATTAAATTTGACGAAGAAGAAAGGAAACAAATTTGCAAGGAATATTACGAAATGTTGCAGTAAATTCACCAAAAATCGCAGGCCAAGAAAGGGTGAAATAGTAAAATGAGGGGTAATGCCAAAGCATATCATTTTTTTAAGGGAAGCGAAAAACTTAGAGTGTGTCAAACATTTTTTATGAAAACCCAGAAGATTAATAATGGTCCGATAATGACAGCATTCAAAAACAGAAATTCTCTTGGTATATTTGAAGGAGAAGACAAGCGAGGAAAAAGACCATCTGCAAACAAAAACGCCCGATGTTGATATTGCAAGAGTTAGGGCTCACATTGAAAGTTTTCCTACAATTGAAAGCCATTATTGCCGCAAGTCAACGAACAGACTGTACTTAGACTCAAGACTAAGCATTTCCAAAATGTATGAACTTTAATCTTTATTCTACCATGAAAATAATTTCAAGGCAGTTACCATACATGTCTACAGAAAGATTTTTGGTAACAGTATAACCTTTCTTTTTTTAAACCACGGAAAGACCAGTGTCAAACGTGCGAACGATATACAGCATCAGATGTAGAAAAGCGCGGTGATTTAGAAGAAGATTATAGGAATCATATTATGAGAAAAAATGATGCCGCGAAGGCTAAGGAAATCGACAAATCTAGATCTCAGAATGATCCATCTTTCCTTTCTGCAACATTCGACTTGCAGTCAGTTTTGCAAATACCATCTTCTGATGTGTCGCCTATGTACTATTCAAGAAAATAAACATGTACAATTTAACAATTTATGAAAATCCACAACCTCACAAAGCATACTGTTTTGCTTGGAGTGAACTAAATGGAAAACGAGGCAGTCAGAAATTGGTACGTGTTTATGCAAATGGTTTGAAACCTTACAGCCTGAAGTAAAACACTTCACGGTTTTCTCTGACACATGTGGAGGTCAGAATAGAAACCAGAATATTGTTGCTCTTTTTTTATACCTTGTTCAAGTAACCTCAATCGACATAATTAAACATAAATTTTTAGAAAGTGGCCACTCATACATGGAAGTTGACTCAATGCACAGTGCCATTGAAAAAGAAAAAAAATATCAACCTGTATACATGTGAACGAATGGCTTAATATTTTTAAAAGGGCAAGATCTAAGCGCAATAGAAATAAAAATATGGACCATACCTTACCAAAGAACTCAAATTTTAATGATATTCTGACTTGAAGGATCTCTCTAGACATTTGCTGAAAAATAAGTTATGGGATTGTGACAATCAAAAAGTAAATTGGCTGAAGGTAAAATGTTTTTAGGTTTAAAAAAGGACAGTCAAATGTTGTTGAATACAGATACGACTATTTCGGAGAGTACAAAAAAATTTAACATCGAAGGACGAGTTCGTACTAGTAAAAAAACTGACTGTACTGAGATTGAACTCAAAAAGTTATATAACGGCGCTTTACCCATATCTATTAATAAAAAAGCAGATATGATTACACTTTGCGAAAAGGAAGTAATTCCAAGTGAATACCATGGGTGGTACAGGTCACTACCAACATCTTCAACAGTGAGGGATATTGTTCCTGAAACTGAAATCTCGGAAACGATGAGTAATAATTTAAGTTGATGTAATAATTAATTGTTTCTATGTAAGAATCTGTATTTTGTTCAATAAAATTTAATACCAACATACTGTGAGTTTTTTTTATAGCAATCCATCACTTAAAACCTCAATAAATCAACCGCGTATTTGCAATCATGATACAAACTTAAAACTCACTAAGTCACACTTTTTTGGTTTTTTTATCTGTACAAACAGTAATAATAAAACTAGTCGAAAACATTATTGATAAAACATCTGATAATATATCTTTTATCTAGTAACAAACATAAAAAAATTAAAAAATAAAGTATTAATTAGGGCTTCAAGAACATGAAACAAGAGGTTTTTTTATTAGCCAGTTTCTCGAAATGACTTATTTTGACTTAGTGAGTTTTTGCACCAAGCCCACGATATATAGTTGATTTAAATATTGTCAAATATTAGAAATGTCAATATGACAAAACGCAACACGTAATACACATTCTTTTCACGGCGTCTGGCTGACTTTAGGGGTGGCCTGAAAAATGTATTATATTTTTAGCAAAATTTTGGAATACGTTTAAGTGTAGAACAATTTTAATAATTGTTTTCGATACATATTTGAGTCCTCTACAAATAGTTTCCCATGACTTTTGGTGTAAAATAATTAGGGAAGCAGGAATTCAACAATTTAGAACTTCTCATTGAGTTTCCTATGGCCCGTTTGACGATTGACCACCCTGTATAGTCTATTCTCCCATTTTGTAAAGAGTTCTTTACTGCCCAATATTCCACCTTATCGAATGCTTTTTCAATATCTACAATTTTTTGATTCATTATTTATGTAAATATAATTTCATCACTAAACAAATCTTGTTTTAAAAATTGTTTGTCTGCATTAGCCGTCTCGAAAATTTCATAACAAAATTCCACTCGTCTTTCAGCATCTCCTCTTAGTTCTTGAAGGCATTAAAATTTATATAAACGGAATTCATTACTTTTCGCAATTTTTAAGGCGTGGAATTATGAATATTAAGCTGGTCTACAATGGTTCAAGAACTTATTCTAGGATTTCCTATTACTGCTCTTAATACATGTATTTCATTTTGATTTTCTAGGTTTTTTAGTACCTTAGCAATATTGTGTGTACAGGTACAATTAGAAATCACAATCCCAGTACTTTCAAAATTTTGTAAAATCCCTTGAATAGTTAAATGACTTGAAATTGGTCTATTGGGATATCTTACGCTAAATAAAGAACTGATAATTCGCGCACTATTGCCTGATTAAAACATTTTTATTATTGATACTTTCCCCTCAACTGAGTACATTCAATTGAGGGACCGCAGACGTTCGGATAGATACAATTAGCGTCTCTTAGCAAAGACAATGACGTCGACTTTGCTAAGTATCAAGACAATTACTCTACACATACACACACACTACACTAGGTACCTGACTGTACCATGCCATAGTTGTCGAGGCATTAACTCAATAAAAAAAAAATTAACAATAAATCACAAAATAAAAATTTTGGCAAGTCAAATAATGTCAAATATCAGAAATATCAATATGACCAAACGCAATACGCCATACACATTCTTGCACTGTGTGTGGTCTGACTTTTAGCGGTAGCCAGAAAGATGTATTATAAGTTTGCAAAATTTTGGAATACGTTTAATTCGTAGAACAATTTTAACATTTGTTTTCGATACTACTTTCAGTCCTTCATAAATAATTTTGCATGATTTTGGTGTAAAATAATTAGGGAAGCAGGAATTCAACAATTTAGAATTTACCATTAAATTTCCCATGATCAGTTTGATATTTAACACATTGTATATATTAATAGAGAAGCAACGAATAAGAAACATTGACTAAATAGAGAAACGATTCTCTAATTTTATTTTTTGTGACAAATTTCCTGAGCTAGCATATAACCTCAAGAACGGGTCTAAAAATAACTTACTATTAATATTTCTAAGATCTTTATCAACGCACATCTAACTTATGCACCATTTGATGCAAATGATACTTTTTTTCAATGCCTTCGGACTACGAAAGTGTCTTTATCGGGTTTCACTGGTGAGAGCAAAGCTAATTGAAATATAATAAGGCTCTTTATATAAAAGAATAACACAACAAAAAATTAGCATCATTAATGCAGTAGCTTTCTTTCGACGCTCGGTGGAAATGATATGGAACAGATTTTGCATGAATAAATGATGCATATCTAATGTGCGTTTGATTTTATTACAATTAAATGGTTTAATGTGACTGTTTTCATTGTCCACAAAGAAACTAAGTTCTAAATTTATTTAAAATCCTTTATAGAAGGTATATAACTTACACACCCAATTGGGCTACATCACCTTACAAAACGTTTTCGGAATATATATTCCATCATCAGTGTGTCTAGGTGTACATGTTTTAAGCCACTAAATATTTAGGTAAAAACCCGTTAAATGTTATTAATTTAAATTTAGGTTACATTGTTGGTTATTATACGATATGATGTTAATGTTACAAGTGGAACTGATAACATGGCAACTTAAGATTCTACATGAGGTTCCTGGTCCTGAGACAAAGTGTCTACGAGGACTTGTTGATAGCAACTATCTGTTCCATGAAACTTATTCGTATTTTTGTTTGTTAATTGTTTAGTACCTACGAGTACCTAACAAGACTAAGCCTGCGAGACTCTTGCGTCTTGCAGTTAGGACTGAGTGTGGTTTTAGGGAGTATACTAGTTCGAGTGTTTGCTTAGAGACTCTATGAGACGCAAATAAGTATTAACAAAAATGTGGAAAATTTGACTTGTGCATTACGAAAAATACCATAAACATACATAGCGAATCAAAATGTTGATTACAGAACACTTAAAAATTTGAGCATTCTTTCCAGCACACTACTTCTTCGCTATGAAATTAATTATCCAGATTTTGAGAATAGCCCTTCTAATAATAAAATAATATCTTTGCTTTGCGACGCCGACAGTATATATCGTATCGAAACTTTTTAAAAATGTATAACCTTAGCTGATAAAAATATATAATTAGGTTAGCATAATTTATTTTCCTATAACTTTAGTTATCGATATCATTCAAAATTTGCTGAAATAATGCGGCTATTATTCAAAAGAACCGAGATAAACAAACAAAGAGATAATGTCGATTACAGTATAAATAAAATACCCATACATTTAAAGTAACGAATGTAACGATTATAATTCTCGGTTTTTTATTCGGTATTTAGGGTATTTGATAGTAACGAGTATAAAGTAACAAGTAGTTACTTTTTCGACATCACTTACTTCATTCTCAATCAAGCTTTATTCAAGTCTAATGCAATAATTGTTTTTTTATCTAATATCCTTGTTGTTCTCGGTGATCAGTGAGAAGTTTACAATTTGACATAAGTGACGAATTTGACGTGAGTGATTCAAATAGTTCTAGTTGGAGTAATGAGTGTTGGAGTCATAGATCTAAAAGACCTAAAAGCAAATTTGAGAAGTTTTTGGTGGTCGTTTATATTGCTTTAATAAGTAAATTATAGTTTTTTATCTTCTCACCTAAAAAATCTGTGCCCTTGATACATGTCTGTGGATTTTTGGCCACATACCAATCTTTTTTAAGATTTTCATTTCATATACGATGGGAGGTCCATCAATCCATTTCTAGGCAGATAATGTTCTTTAAAATACAGTCAAGTTTATGTCATTAATTTGTTTTTTTTTGTGTTTTAACCATGTTTTAGCACATGTAAGCCTGTTAAGTAATAAAAACATTTATTAAGAAACAGATTGACTTCTGTGGGGCATGGTAGATAGCTGAGTTAATTAGAGCATAGGCACGGATCGCTTAGATCCATGCCTATGCTTCAAACCTTACTCGGTGTCAGTTGTTTAGACATTTATTAATTTGGTTGGTCTTTATTATGGCTATGGTTATTCAAGCTTAAAATATACTTACTCTGTTACGTTGTTGCTTGCTATGATCTAAAGTAACGTTTAATAAATAGCAATAGGCTAATGGGTAACTGCAGAACTGCAACACTGGCAAAACTCTTGCTGCAAGACCAAGACCAAGACCGGGAGTGCAATACCAAGACCAAGACCAAGATCAGGTGTATTGACGCAAGACCAAGACCAAGACTGTCTAAGCTCGTCTTGGTCTTGCATTTGGGCAACACTAGCTACCATAATTTCCCATCGTATTTTATTAGCAGCTGTTCGAAATAGGTCTGAGTTGGTATTACCTGTCCACTGTCTCAAATTCTTAAGCCAGGATATTCGGCGGCGTCCTAGTCCTATATTTCCTTGTATTTTCCCTTCTTGTATCAATAGTAGGAGTAGGATTCTGTATTTATTTTCATTTCTCACTATATGTCCGAAGTATGCTAACTTTCTCTCTTTATTGGATTTCAAGACTTCAGGTTGTTTTTGTAAACGTTGCATTACTGCGTCGTTAGTTATATGATGTACATATAATATTCCGAGCATGCGACGATAGCACCACATCTCGAAAGACTGCAGCCGTCTGCAAGACGCATCAGTAAGTGTCCATGCCTCTGCTCCATACATAAGAACAAAAAACACATAACAATTAAGGATTTTAAGTCGGAGATGTAAGTTCAAGGTTAAATTGCAGAAAACTTTCTTCATCTGTTGAAAGGCACTCCTTGCTTTATTGATCCTACATTTAATCTCTTCTGAGTGATGCTGTCTAGGTGTCTGTGATTTTGAATCCTAGGTATGTATCCAATACCTCATTGTCTGCCATAAACTTTGCATCTGTATCTTGGTTTTTGCTTATGATCATAATTTTCGTCTTCTTATTATTAAGTTTCATTTCATATTTTCTACCGATGTTAACTACTTGATCTATCAGTCTTTGTAATCCTTCAGCACTATCCGCAACAAGGACAGTGTCGTCTGCATATCTTAGATTATTTATTACTTCACCGTTAACAATCACGCCATCAGTCGTTTCTCAAAAAACTTCTCGAAATAGATGTTCAGAGTACGCATTAAATAGCAAAGGCGAGAGTATGCAACCTTGTCGTACTCCTCGTTGTATTGGACTTCATCGGATAATTGATTGTCTACTCGAATCTTGGCTACTTGTTTTCTATAGAGATTGGCTATTATTCTTATATCCTTGTCATCGATGTTTGCAATTCGCAAAGTTTCAATAAGCCTCTCATGCTGTACTTTGTCAAATGCCTTTTCGAAGTCAATGAAACAGGCAAAGACATCTGTATTAACATCTCTTACTCGTTGTATCAATACTTGTATGCTAAAAAGTGCTTCTCTTGTGCCAAGACCGCTGCGAAATCCAAATTGTACATCAGCAATACCCTCTTCCAATTTCTTGTATATGCGAGCATGGATGATGTTTAAGAATATTTTGACTGAGTGGTTCATGAGGCTAATGATTCGGTGTTCTTCACATTTCTTAGTATTTGCTTTTTTGGCAGTGGTATAAATATGGACATGTACCAATCTTTTGGTAGAGTTCCTGTTTCATATATACGGTTAAATAATTCTGTCATAATGTCAAGTTGATTATCTTCTATCAATTTCAATACCTCAGCATACATTCCATCAGGTCCTGGCGCTTTGTTGTTTTTTAGACGACTTATAGCAGATCTTACTTCTGATTTTGTTATTGTTGGTCCATTCTCGACGTTGTCATATACTTCAATGTGTTGGTAGTCACTGAACAGTTCTGCTATATATTCCTGCCATCTGTCCAGTTTTTCTTGCGTATTGAATAGTATGTTTTCATCTTTATCAAACAGTGCAGTCAGCATTGTTGTTCTATATATTCCTGCAATTTCTTTGATCTTACTGTGCATATTGAATATATCATGTTTGTTCTGTAGGATCTCTATTTCTAAGCATTTCTCTAACAACGAGGATTCTTTTACTAATTTTATTTCTTTAAGTACCTTTTTGTGGTGTTATAATCTCTAAAATCTGATGTGTCATCCATAGTTGTTTTATATGTTTAATAAGTACGAAAATTGGGGCAGCATTTTCAAAATGAAGTAATCAATATTTTAGTCGAATCTATTCGTAATGAGAAAATACGCATTGTCACGAAAGCAAAATATTACGCTATAACTCTCAACTCTACACCAGATATTAGTCGCACAGTACAAATACTATTTGTAATTAGATATGTGCAATAAGGTAGCTATTTTGAATTTTTTCAATAATTTTTTCCAGTAACTAACACCACTGAAGAAGGCCTTTCCAATTTCCTATTAGACAAGCTATTATCTAGTCTTAAGCTCAAAGTTCCAAATATATGGGGTCCGTGCTACGACAATGCTGCGAATATAAAAGGGAAAAATATAGAGTTTAAAAATCAGATTCTTGATATCAATCCTAGAGAATTATAATAACATAATTATAGTGCCCTGCGTGGTTCATATATTAAATTTGGTTAATAATAACGCTACCAGGTCTATTAAGGCCCAGCAAGGTGAACTGAAACCGATTAAAAAACGGAAGAAAAACAGTTTCCACTACAATTTACGTGAGAATACTCACGATGAGGAAGTGAAATCTCGAATAAGGAAAATTGTCATGATTTTTTATTTTTGGAGTAAAGGGTTTTTCGATTAATCTTGGGTACACCTTTGCGTTTTAAGTTCAAAGCTACCATACATTTTCAACGCTAAAAAACTTTTTTCACACAGTAACAAAAAAACCACTATGTTGTTACTAGCTAAATTTTTTAACATTCTAACTCTACAATTCTAAGTTACGGTAAGATCAACAATGTTTTTTAATAGATTATATATGGTAGCTAATTATAATTTCTTCTCTTTCAGCCTGAAGAAGCCAAATTAATTCTCTTTGGCGAAAACGTTCGGCGAAACAATTGATACTCATTAGTCTTTCTTGCAGATTTACACAATATTTAAGAGTTTATTCTATATATATATATATATATAATATATATATATATATATATATATATTATATATATATATATATATATATATATATATTATATATATATATATATATATATATATACTTAATTTAGTCCTTTCACGAGATTTATCCTTAGTACTCTTGTAGATTGTATTTTATTTGTAGTGTACACTTCTTCTCTGAAACCGGAAGTCTGAGATCAAATGTCTCACTTTACTCACCTTTATTACCCACACTTGACAATCACGTTTGAATTATAGACTCTCATTAGATATCTTATTTATCATTATAACTGTTTTAATAACAGAGAAGTTGTCTTCAGACGTAGATAAAAAACACAAATTTTTTTTTAATGTTGTAAAATGGTTGAAAACTATCATTAATAGAAACCACCGAGATGCCTTATGTTTAAAAACAAAGCAAACAGACTTACCAATATCATGTTGAAATTGTGAAATCTCTCGTGCAAGATGACTTCTTCTACGGGTATCCTCTGTTCCGAGTATTCTTCCACTTCGCGATCCCATTCTCCCACAACTGCAGTCCACAAAGCAGCTAATGGTAAGTTGAAAAGGTCACTAAAATAAATAAAATTTAATTTAGTGGGTTTTTTAGATCAAAATGAAGAAATTGAAATATAAAACGAAAGTATAAGAGTAAATAAAAGGCATTTTATTGAATGATAAACAAAAAATTATTAACATACTTTTTAAAATGTGAACAAAAAAAAAATAGCATAAGATAAGTCACCAATCGGCAGCTAATAAGTATCAGACGACTGCGCAAAAGGTGGAGTAACAACCTTCCATAGGGGTATTAATACTTATGATATAGCACAGTGCTCTGGTAGGTTTTATGAATTTATTACCGCACTAATAATTATTCACCCCTTAACTACTCCTTATGAGAAGTCAATAATTCTGTTGGGTTTTTATTTAAAGTGATAAAAATCTATTTTTACAATTTTACTGTACTCTTCTTGTAATTGAAAGTGTAAATTGCTTGCAGGTTTTTATTGAATTTTATCCTCCTGATAATTTTGACCCCTAGCCACAGTTAATGGGAAACATTAAACAAGCTACGCATTCACTCTAGCTAAATGCGAAATCTTTTTGAAAATACAAAAGGGCTCTGCTAGATTCTTACTATATTTTTACCAGTCTAGCCATTGTTTTCTCAACTAATCTAATTAAAAACATTCTGAAACGTGACTCTGTGCTAATATTTATTTTTTAAATGTTTACATATTGAAAATATGGAAATACTTACTATGATATTACCAGGTAAAAAATATTCCAATTGAAATGATTTTATTATGTCTATTATATGCATTATATAATTGTAAAGGAGGGTCGGGACACCTTGCGAACCTATTGTTAAAAAATTAAAAGATTTGTATTTATTGGGTACATCCATAGACCTGAGCAAAGTGTACCGTCAATCACGGTGTAGGCTGCAGTCTTAATCGGATTTTAAATTGATACCGCCCTCTTCACTAGTATTTAACTTTGACAATAAATTCTAAACATAGCGCCTCTGTACTGCCCCTGAGTGTGTTTTAGGTGGTGTACAATAGTTTTTGGGTAATTATTAATACATAGTAAATACCAGTACACATTCATCTACGCACGATCATGTCTATAGTTGATTTTTAACTCTTAAATTATGAAAACTTTTTTTTATACCTGACGAAAAATATGACTTTACGCCCCCAAAATTAGAACGTAAAATTGCGGAATTTATGCCCACTGTGTTAGGTGAAAAATATGAAGATAGCAAAAAAATAGTAAAAGGTTAAAGTTAGTTAAGTACAATACAAAAAAATTATTAAAAAATACCTGTTATATTTTTGTTTTGTAAGTTCAAAATTCAACGTAGCAGAATTATTGGCATTTCATAGAGGTGTAAACAATTGTAAAGGTGGTAAATGAATTGAAAAATCTTCATAGCATACAGTCAGTGGTATCTAAAAATACTTTTTAAATATTATTTACAAAAAAAATACTTTTTTTATTTCAACCCAAACTACCACGGGTTAGTTGTGAGGTAAAAAATTGGTAAACATCGAGCAGAATCATGTGGTACTTCAAAATTTTTATTTGAATTAGCTAACTTAATATTCGAGCTTCTGCTTAAGAGCAAAGGCACACAATTTCAGGACAATGCTTATTAAATGCATTCATTTTTTTCGAATCCTGGGAAAACTAACAAACATTTTTGAAAAATGTAAACGCAGAATGAAAGATTACAGTATTACCGAGGGCCGAAAGTCCCTTAGAATAAACAAAAAGTTGTTTTGAATAAGATATTTGAAATTAAAATCACTCTAAATTTTCTCTTTTTTTTTCACCCCTGTAACTTATTAAAATAAACATTATAAAAGTTTTCAGGGACTTTCTGCCCTCGGTAATAATGTATTCTTTCATTCTGCGTTTAAATTTTTCAAATATATTTATTAGTTTTCTCAGGATTCGAAAAAAAAAATGAATGCATTTAAAAAGCATTGGCCCGAGATTTTACGCCTACGCACTTTAATAACAAATTCCCACAAGGAGTAGTTAAGAAATGAAAAATTAAGAGGGTGTTAATACATTTGTAAAAAAACACGGGAGGACACTATTTTTGGGAACGTTTCCAAATATAATTACTTTAGTGATGGAAAATAATCAGGGTGGTAAAAGTGTAGCAAAAACCTACCAGAACACTTTTTTATTTCAATTATAAGAGTAAAGTGGAATATAACAAGAAGTTCGCTGTAAATTTTAACCTAACAGAATTATTGATTAATAGAGTACAGTAAAATTGTAAAAATAGATTTTTTATCACCTTATATTTTAACCTAAGACTTGTTGACTTTCCACTTGGAAAAATTACTGGTGTGGTAATAAATTTGTAAAAACCTAGCAGAACACTGTGGTATTTCAAAAAATATTTTTATTAATTTCGCTAGCTCAAATATTAAGCTAGCAGAAATGTTTCCAAATATTTATTTCAGTTGTAAGTACAGGAGAGTAAAATTGTATTTTTTCACCCTAAATTTTAACCTAACAGAAATATTGGCTTTCCATAAGAGACAATTAAGGGAAAGTTAGCAGGAATGTTTCCAATAAGATTGGTTTAGGGGTGCAAGATTATCAGGGTGGTTAAAATTTAGTAAAAATTTAAAACACACTTTTTATTTCAGTATAAGTAGAGGAGAGTGAATTAAAAAAAATCCCCCTTAATTTTAATCTAACAGAATTATTAACATTCTGTAAGAGGTAGTTAATAGGTGAAAAATTACCAAGGTGGTAATAAATTTATAAAAACCTAGCAAAGCACTGTCGTATATCATAAATATTTTTTTTGGAATTCTACTAGTTAAGTTTTAACTGTTAAGTCTACACCTACATTGGAACCGTATTTCTCCGATCGCCGATATCTGGCGACGTCGGCCGATATCGGATCGGGGAGAAATACGGTTCCAATGTAGGTGTACACTTAGTCACCAAAATCGCTTCCCTTAAGAGTGGTTTGGTGGTGAAAAATTATTAGAGTGGCAATAAATTCATGAAAAATGGTAAAAAAATATACCATCGACAAAAAGTTTTTTTTCTGAATTCTGCAAGCTTGAACCTTAAGACAGCAGAATCGCTCCCCTCAAGGTTGGTTTGGTGGTAAAAAAATTATTACCGGTGGTAATAAATTAGTGAAAAATGGGTGTGAAAAATATTACATAGGTTAAATTGGATTTGTTCCGCTATCCTAAGTGTACGAATACTCGTGATCCCTGTGACTCGGGTCATTTTTACCGACCACAGATAGAAAACCAACGAGTGACAAATAATTGTACGAGTAACCCACTCACACGACATGGTCGCCAAGTACACGAGTCGTTTGAGTCCAGCTTAATTTTTAAATAAGAAAACAATTATGTCCGTTTTTTGATGCTATTATTTTACAAAAACCCACTAATTCCATTGTGAGTAAAAATCATGTTGCAACTTTAATAACGCTGATTGCGAGATTAAGGGCTTCTAACGGTTTATGCATCCCCACTATACACTTTATAATCCAGAATTATCAATTTATAATTTTCATACCTTACGTAATTGAAAAATCTTGTATAATTGTAAAACGACGATACTTCTAAGTGAAAAACAGAAACAATATGAGAAAAACGATAAGTAATTATTTACTAAAGTAATTCCTTCAAAGAAACTTATTGTTTCATTCGAGAAACCACTTAATAGTTAACTACAGCTCCAACAAAAATGAAAGTAAAAACCGTTTAGTAATGTCTAATTTCGATCGTGATCTAGGTCGTTGTACACAAAGAGCATTTCCTTATAGTCGGAGATCAAGGTCATTGCGAATGGTACTTCACATTCACGTACACCACGAGTACCATCTTTGGTAACGACACATCGATTATAGAAGAAATAGCAACGAAAGTAAGATCGAAGTCATAGACGTACGTTTTAACTTGTATGAGTTACATATTGTAACGTTAACATTGATTTTTCATAAATAATTATGAGTAAACTAAACTAAATTCACGAACACTGAAAATCTACGTCTCTGGTTTAATTCGAGAGTTCGATAACATAAGATGACCACCAAATGTTGATTACATAAAATTGGGCAATAAATGATTGTTTTGGAATGTTTACATCGTACCAATGGAAAGTGATTTTGAAGAAAGTTAGTACGTGATGTATTTTATTTAACCACACATTGTTGATCATCTCTAAATAGAGTCATTAGAAAATATTTACAAAAAAAAATTGTTTGAATATTTTATCATAAAAATATTTGTGTAAGAAATAACTAGAAAATTTGAAAAAAGATTGAGGTTATAAAATATTTTTTATAAGTTTTTGACTTTTAAAATTTTGGTATAAAATTAAGCATATTAAAGGCAGAATCAGTTTAGGTTGTTTTATTCATTCAGCAATAAGGAGTATTATTATATGTAACCGATAACTCTCCATCCTAGGGAGATCTTGTAAATTGACGAATATGGAGGCATAAAGGGTGTTTTTTTAGAGGTATAGAAATGTAAGTTGGTAACACTTTTAACTGTCGGTCATTTTGATAGTTGACAAGTGATTTACGTTAAGTTTGGTTTGGCATTTCAGCATAAATAGACTTAAAGCTTAAACGACACTTCCAAATTGTACAAATTTATTTTGAAAATTGTGGTTCTATTCGAAATACACACTGCGCACTACGTCCATTTTATGGTCGACATAATAGTCCATCAGAGCAAGTAATTCGATTAACCATGGAACTGTTTTGTACCACGTTTACTCTAAATGATAACATGCATTCACGTGCGTACAGAAAAAGTTCATCGTTCATCGATACGTGTTCATCCACTTTATGTAAGATTTTGTAAAAAATCTTGCTTTGCGTGCTTAAAAAATCCAACTAATACAATAATTAAATGTATATCATCACCGAGCAAGGCCTAGTTTCGTAGATTCGGTGAGTGGGTCTAAAACGAGATTGCCGTTAATTCCGATTTTTGTTTAGTTTTGTTTAGCGATGAAGCTCACTTTTCGTTGATATGCTACGTTAATAAATATAACTGCCCTATCTGGAGTTCAGATAATCTTCTTCTTCTTAACGTGCCCCTATCAAGTCCCTTGACGTTGGCGATTAACATGGCGAAACTATCTCTGTCTCGAGCTATTCTAAATAGTTGCTTAGCTTTCTTTATTCCTGTCCACTCCGTGATATTCTTCAACCAAGAGGCCTGCTTTCTACCAATTCCTCTGCGTCCTTCGATTTTACCCATCATAATAAGTTGAAGAATATTATATCGGTCTCCCCTTACTACGTGTCCAAAATAAGCCATCTTTCTACATTTGATGTTATCAAGCAGCTCGCGAGCAGCATTTGTTCTCTCAAGGACTGCCACATTTTTCAGCATAGCCGTCCATGGAATTTTTAGTATAGGTCTGTGCAGCCACATTTCAAAGGCCTCCAGACGATTAATGGTGGATATTTTTAATGTCCATGCTTCGACACCGTATAAGAGGACTGACCAAATGTAGTATTTAACCATGCGCTTTCGAAGTTGAAGTTGCAAGTTATCATTACAGAATAATGACCACATTTTTAAAAATGCCGTGCGGGCTATCTCCTTAAATGTATATTAAGAAACCATAACATCCAGAAATTCTGACTGTTTGGTGTGCTTTATGGTCTGGTGAAATCATTGGACACTACTTAGAGCCATGATTACTGCCTTTTCCCGTTCCCCAATTGAACAATCATAATGTGCAGTAGCTGTCGTTTCAAATGGCGCAATATGTCTCACAGCACAGCTCGTGCCACAATTGATTTATTCAATATAAGGTTGAATGTTCGAATAATTGAACTTTGATGGTATACAAGGCAAATATCGAACACAGTAATTAATTAAATCTTGCCCAAGTACTTTCAATCAATAGATCATCCTCAGGGGCATTTCGTCAGTTGTGGCTTATCCGACATGAGCAGAATGTCATACATGTAAATTTGGACATAACAATACAATACACAAAGAGAAACAAACACTTTAAAACTTTTAAAAATGGAGAATCTGAGAACTTTCTGTCTCCGGCTTCTATATAACATGTAGCTTCTCCATTTTTAAAAGTTTTAAAGTGTTTGTTTGTCTTTGTGTATTGTATTGTTATGTCCAAATTTACATGTATGACATTCTGCTCATGTCGGATAGGCCACAACTGACGAAATGCCCCTGAGGATGATCTATTGATCGAAAGTACTTGGGCAAGATTTAATTAATTACTGTGTTCGATATTTGCCTGGTATATCATCAAAGTTTAATTGATTTATTGACGAAAACGTTTGGTAACTGCATAGTTTCACGTTTTGTACCATGATTTGGCCTCTAAGATCGTGCGTTGTAACACTGCTAGACTATTTTATGTCAGGATATGTGACGGTACTAGTCTTTGACGATAAGCATGAAACGATTTATCACTTGGAGGCCAATATGCGCCGCATTATTGCAGATACTAGGCAACAAATATTGGACAAAGTGATCGAAAATGGATCTCCAGATTAGACTACGTTGGAGCCAATTGTTGGATGTCAATTTTTAAAAAATTATCTTTGTTTTATTCTATTTCAAAATTCTATACCTCTAAAAAACACCCTTTATATATTTTTGTTTTATTTTAACCCCTATAAATCTTTCCCCTGCTAATTTAGACATTGAAAATACAATTTAGTAAATTTGTTATACTTTATTTATATTAAATTTGCAATTTTTTATTGTGTTTAAATGATATTTTTTTACACTCAAAATTTTCAACCTCTAAAAATTATCACTTATCTCAAAAAAATTGCAAAACCATTTACAGACACATTTATACAATTTGATACATCATTTATATTAACCCAATAACTTTATACATGGGTAAATTTGCATAATTCTTTTTACACATTTTTATGTCTGAAAACTAAAGTTCCATTTTTTATTTCTTGTATTCAGTCTAATGTATATTATATGTCTCATAAACAAATAAAAAATAAAATAAAATATTACATAAAACAAATTAAGGTTGTTCATCAACATCATTATTACCGATGCTGTGGTTTTCTTCGTCTGCTTCATCTGTTATTGAAGCTATGTTTTGGCAATCTTAATCAGAACATCAACCACAATTTAAGTTGAAAAAAAAAAACTATCAGAGTGGAGCCATATCTCTTCTTTTAGTTTGTAGGCCGGGCGATGTCGGCTGGGTAGCTACGATTATCACGCAACCAAACCCCCGCTATCTGAAAACCGACCCAATCCTGCTGGTCTGTTCCTCCCCGTTCCGATCCGAAAAGCAACAGACCAGCAGCGTATGTCCCGATGTTTGGCCAGACTAATCGATAACGAGAATCCAGCACCATGCCAAATCGCAGGTCACAATAATAACTATATTACAGTTATGAAATAATAAATATATAAAAAAGTTTAAAACAATAAATATGGAAAAAACTAAATATGACATTCACAAAACATGTAAAGACAACACAAACATCTACGAAGTCAGTCGGTAAAATCCTAACCTAGACGAACTTAGATCCCATGATAGGAAAGAAGCCGGTACATATACTCGAAGTAAAATGCTCATAAGCCACTTATGTTAAGACCTGACAAAATGACTATGAATGTGAATACTACCCTGAATGGTCTTAATGCTCAAATTGTGGACGTATAACCTTAAAAGGTTTAAAATTTTTATGACACGACAATTCGACGGACGCCATATTCCGCGAGCTTCAACGATTAAAGGTGCCATACAAATAGTTTTTCCTGGATATCAGGTCTGCATGGTCTGAAGAAATCGAGGCTCAGTGTACAGCGCCGTTTTATTGACGGCGGCTGTACTTCAGGACCCACCAGGCTGGGGGTTCAGGACCCTCCCAGCTGACAACAACGTCCACGACAATTACCCGTTCATCCTGTTGCGTGACAAGGTCAGGTATCTTAAGAGTCTTGTGCATCTTATTCGTCGCTCTACCTCGCAAATCCACCTTTTCCTTTTCACTGCTTTACGAAGATAGTTCGATCTCTTGATTTGGTGCCAATGTGCTGCGAGACAGTTTTGCAAAACATGACTAAGGCTCTCGTAATGTTCGTATCCCTCTCGGGACCTCCGTTCATGTGGTGGATTTGAAAAGATGCGTCCGATTGGCAGAAGATTTCCTAGCAGTTAGATTGCCCTCATAAAATCTCTCCCCGACCAGTAGGGCGGTGGATTGCTTATCCAGGAAGAGCTTTCGGAGTGTGAAGAGCCTGATGATGATCTAGTCCATTTAAGAATTTTCTCCTAGAGGCGTGACATGGATGGTAAGCTGAGGGTTAATGACGTCGTATCAGTAGCTGATCTGATTAATCTTGTCAGTCTTCTTCTCATGATAGCCGGGACGTGCATGGCCATGTCATGACGCCCAGGCCACCCTCTTTAGTGGGAGCCTAGATGTAAGCATCGGCGCAAGTACGATTGAGGGACAGAAATTTACGAACGGCTATACGCACGGACCTGTCAAAGCCCTTCAACGTCTTCATCGAGATGGTTGGATTCGCAACTTGTCAATATACTTCGGTAGCAAGTACTTGTTTAGTACCAGCAGCCTTTGTGCTGATTTAACGTTGAAGGCTATCCTGGTCTGTCCTAGAGCATTATACCTTCGGCCTAGATATTTAACCTGGTCACTGGGTTGCAGCTGGCGAATCCTGTCGTTGCCGACAGAAAAGAGAGAACGCGTTACGCAGTAAGAGTGCTTATTACCACGGTTTATGTTAACCGTAATAGCTGTACTCTTATCAGCGTTTATCAACATTCCTCTCTTCTCGAAGAATTCGACGGCTGTACGAAGCTGTTAGGTACCATCTTTGGCCGATTCGGATAGCAGGATTAAATCATCAGCGTAACACCAACACTGAGCTTTTCCTGCCATCTGCAATTGGAAGGCCAGGCTTGTCTCCCTCAAGCTTGCATCTCAGCTTATCGACCATCATGTTTTAGAGGTAGGGCAACAAGGAATCTCCCTGTTTGACGCCTCTACTCATCTTGATGTTCGATGTGTACTTGCTTCCGGCAGCGACCACGTACGACAATTCAGGTATGAGGCCACCAAATACCGCTTAAATGTCGCGTCTAACACAAAGCGATTCATTGTCCATTCAATGGATTGTTGTGAGACCTTATCGAAAGCTTCTCGTAAGTCGATGGATATGATGTTGTATCGACAAAGACCCCTTATTCGTTCTTTGATTACCGTTTGAAGTGTTAAGTTGTTCAATAGAACGTCATCTACCTGCCGAAAGTCTCTCTGGAGCTTGTGGAAATCTAGCACCGCAAGTCTCTTTCCTAGCAAGCAATGCAATACCCTGATCATTACTGAAGATATGGTTATCGGTCGCCAATTACCTACCTCCAGTGGATCGCCATCCTTTGGTATCAAAGTGGTCCTGCAATCTTTCAATACCTCAGGAGCGACACCAAACTGGAGCAACGATTTTAGACTGGAACCAATTTCTGAACAGCTACCTTGCGCAGCCTCTTGATCTTAATAAAGTCAGGACCGGCTGCTTGAGATTTCATGGTTTGTAAGGCCCTGAGGATTTCCGCTTCTGTTACAGCATGGCTGATCAGTAGCGGTTCCTTCTGATCTGAAATCGGTTCGTCGTCTGTAGTCGATCTTGATGAAAAAATCGTCCGATATTCCCGTTCAACAGATCTGATGTCAGGGTAGGATGTCAAGGTAGTTACATGATACACCGCATAGTACATGGAGTTAAATCCTTGATCTATTAGATCTAGTGATTTTTTTATTGTGCGCTCACTGCAGAACCAGATCCATAAATAAATTTCATTCGAATAAATAACTATTGTTTTAAGTTCTGTTCTTTTAATTTTAATCTTGAGTTACCACAACTTTTAGAGTGTAAAAGTAATATTCTTTTTTGGAGATTTATCTATCGAAAAATTTCTTTTAGTGTTTAATAACCTATTATGCTTAAATGATTTTTAATGTTAAATAGGGTAAATAAAATAATGCAGGCTTACTTATTAATACAATGGGCAGCTGTCAACAGCCATTCCGAAGAAATCATAACACCGCCACACCAGTGCCCCAAAAATCCAAACTGGGGATGCAATAGTTGCAGTGATACCTGTAAAAGTATTTAATATATTTTATACAGACATTTATTATACAAAAAATAATTACAATCTAAATTTTATGATTACGAAAATGCTAACTGATAATGTATTACCATCTCGAATAGACTACAAGCACACCGGAGATTTTAATGGGTCATTTCTCCTAGCATGAATCACATAAATATAAAACAATACTATAATACAATATAAGGTTAAATGTTCGAATAATTAAACTTTGATAGTATACAAGGAAACTATCGAACACAGTGATTAATTAAATCTTGCCCAAGTACTTTCGATCAATAGATCATCTTCAGGAGCATTTCGTCAGTTGTGGCCTATCCGACATGAGTAGAATGTCATAAATAATGTAAATTTGGACATAACAATACAATACACAAAGACAAACAAACACTTTAAAATTTTTTTAAAAGGAGAAGCTACATGTTACATAGAAACCGAAGACAGAATCTGATCTATCTAGATTCTGTCTCCGGTTTCTATGTAACATGTAGCTTCTCCTTTTAAAAATTTTAAAGTGTTTGTTTGTCTTTGTGTATTCTATTGTTATGTCCAAATTTACATTATTTATGACATTCTACTCATGTCGGATAAGCCACAACTGACGAAATGCCCCTGAAGATGATCTATTGATCGAAAGTACTTGGGCAAGATTTAATTAATCACTGTGTTCGATAGTTGCCTTGTATACTATCAAAGTTTAATACTATAATATATGTATGTAATAACAACTTTAGAATCTTTGCCGTCAATTCTTATCGGTCCAGGTAAGTCACAGGAAAATAAACTTACCACTCAAAGGGGAGTGGGGGACTTTTTGGCAAAAAATATTTGTACTGCATTTATAACTTTAGTAGGTAATACAAAAATATTGACCTGCCACCCAATGCCGTACAAAAATGTTGATACCAGGAGTAGGGAAATTTTTTTATTTTCGGAAAACTTGTTATTGGTATTGCTTCATTAACTGGAAGGGCTTCATCACTAATGAGGGCTTTCTCGAAGTTGTAAAGCATATTAGAAAAAACATGCATGCTTTTAAGAAAAACCCTGCGTTAATAATTTTGGATAACCATAATACACATGCAACGTTAGATGCTGTATTGTATTGCAAGGAAAATGGTTTAGTACTCTTAACGTTTCCTTCACACACAACACATTGTTTGTAGCCTCTAGATGTGTATTTGGTACTTTTATGGGTCGTTGTCGTGCTGCATTTAACTTATGGATATTTACACATCCGGGAAAAGCTATAACAATTAATAACATTGCACATCTAACAGATTCAGCTTTTGACGAAGCATTTATTATACAATTTATTTAGACGAAGCATAGGAAAAACATTATTTCTGGATTTTTAAAACACTTGTTACTATTCGTCTAATAAAAATATTTTTTCTCAAAAGATTTTGTAGGAGCTGAAGTTACAAAAGTCAGTGATGTATCACAGCGAGATACCACAACTGATGATTTTCTAAATTGCAGTTCACTCTCTAATTCCGAAATACATTATCATCGGCAAATGTTTAACCACAAGTCAATAATAATTGTCAATCTGTTTTTCCCACCGAAAAACAAAGTTCCAAAATTTTAATTATTTCCGATGTAAAACTTGGAACAAATTCGTTTATACCCAAAGGCCGTGAGAATAAGTACATAATAAAAAAGAAAAAAAAGAAAAAAAAATCAACCATTCTAAGCGCTACACAGAAAAAAATAGAATAGAAAATGAAATAAGAGAAAAGGAGGAAAAAGAAAAACAACCTCAGGAAAGAAAGGCAAGCAATCTAGAAAAGAACAAATTCCAAATCCCATGTTAGCAAACTTCTTGATGAGAAGACCTCAGAAAGCGAAATTGAGAATTACTGCGAAGAATTAAATGATAGTCTTATGGAAGTTGAGACTGAAGATGGTAAAGATTTTGGATTGTATCTTACGAATATCCAGAAAAAGGATTTTGTTCTCATTAAATTTGCTACAACAAAAAAAACGCTTAAATTCTTTATTATTCAGATCGAAAAAGAACTAGACAGATTTTTTAGGATTTTTTTTAAATGATGCCGCTACAAGATTTTGTATTTCCAGCTCCTGTAAAAGGAATAAGTTTGCTGCATATACGTGATACATATACAAATAATAATAAAATCGGTACAGTTATGAATACAAGGATACCAAAATAAAATCAGTGATGTATATGCCAATACAATATATAGTTAATAATATTTAAACAAACGTAAAATACTTAAATGGTTAAAATACCGAGGAAATAACGAGGAAATTTGAAGAAGTGGATACCACGAGCGGATAGACGATACCTGGGTCGAAACTCATGGGATGTATTGACACCATAAAGAAAAATTTTACTAAACGAAATTTCAAAATGCATAGTAGGCGGAATGCTTAAGTTAATAGTTAATGAAGATCTTTGTATTCCTCGTCTTTAACTGTTTCCCCATAAATGAAAATTATGGTTATTTGTTGCTACTTCGAAGAATCTCGTAGTCTTTTAAACCAGTTTTGTAACCATGTGTTAAGTTTTCTTTTGAAGTTTTTTTGGTCTGTATTTCTGCTTAAAGAACGAATTTCATCAATTTTTCTTACTATTTCTGTAAGTTTGATTTCTGAACTTTTTAGTTAATTGCTATATCTGCTTAGTGGACGTTAACTATCATATTGACAATAATTAGTAGGATATTGGGGCTGTAGAGTTGTGTTATAGAGGTAGTACCTTTGACTGGAGCGACCACATCGCGCGTCATAGACGGACGGGAGATGGTTCTTGATAACTGGTCTTCATAAGACACCTCATAAGTCCTCTCACATATGGCTCCACCTGTCACACCTCGGGCAACTGCATTGGTCTGCAGGTTAAACTAAGTGAGGGTAGAGAGATATGGTGAAAATTTCTCCGAGCGATTGCCGGTATAGGCAGTCCCCCACTTACTGACCAATGGTAGGGCACCTTTTTGTCCTGGGGTTGGGAAATCGACCCCGAAGGCGGATGAACCAAAATTTGGCCAACAGCATAAGATGTAAAAGGTAAGGGGAAACCACTACGTTAAAGATCCCTACGGATATCCCTGGAATAATTATCTTATATGTCGGACAAAATGGAAGCAAAGGCCCTCAGTCCCGGGCAAACCTTAGATGGTCCGAGGGTGCTGAAAATCCCCCGAGTTCGACTTCAAGTCGAAATTCAAAAATTGAAAACGCAAAGGAAAGCTGGATGAAAGAACGATGTGAAGAATTGGAATCACTACAAGAAAAGGGAGACAGCTTTGGACTACATAAAAAAGTCAAAGAAATTTCCAGTATATACAAGAAACACCATGAGGCTCACCTGAAGAATGATCAAGTAAACTACGTTCATACACAGGAAGAACTAGCTAAAATCTGGGCAAACTATGATTCGTACCACTTTGCGGATAATAGACCGAATCTCCCAACTACTAACTTACCGACGGAAAATTTATCCGGCCCTCCCATTATTCGCGCCGAAGTGGAGTATGCTATGAAAGTAGCAAAACTAGGCAAAGCTCTTGGACCGGATGGCTTTATTCAACCTTTTTAATGATCCTAAATCACAAAGAGCAACAAAATGCAAAGACCACATACTCATAAGTTTAATTAGCTATATGCTTAAAGTGTTTCTTGGCATCCTTTACACAAGCATGTTCAGAAAGCAAGAAGATCTAAGCGGTGAGACACAATTTGGTTTCAAGAGCGGACTGGGTACACGTGAAGCAGCTTTCTGATTGAACACACTTGTATAAAACTGCATGGATCAACGAAAAGATATAGTTATAACATTCTTCGTTTATGAAAAAGCGTTTGACAATGTAAAACATGACGTAATGATAAAAATTCTACACAACGCTAACATTGACGAGAAAGATATATGAGTTATCCAGAATCTCCGTTGGAATCAAAAAGTGAGACAGTGAGACTGAACAAATCAACCAACACAGAAGAATTTGAAATTTTTAGAGGAGTGCGAGAGGGGTGTATTTTGTCTCCTTTGCTCTTAAATATCTATATGAAGAACATTTTTGCAGAGGCACTGGAAGGCTCTGAGTGTGGAATAAAGGTAAACGGGTTTCCGATAAATAACATTCGTTACGCCAACGACAACACCGCGATAATAACAGACAACGAACATGATATGCAGTTGATGTTAAATAAAATAAACACCGTAGAAAAAATATATGGCTTGAAGATAAATGCTGGAAAAACTAAATGCATGGCGATAAGAAAAAACGCACTTTTAAGAATACAACTGTAAGTAGATAGTGCTCCAATCGATCAAGTAAAAACATTTAAATACTTGGGAATGATGATGAATGGGATCCTCAACAAGAAATAAAATGCCGTACCAAACAAGCAAGACAAGCTTTTATCAAATTTAAACCGCTACTATGTAACTGCAATCTTTCCTTCAATCTCCGCTACGGGATGGTTAAATGGTATGCATGGTCCATATTGTTATACAGCATGGAAATATGGACATTAGGAGTACCTTCCATTAATAAGTTGGAGGCTTTCGAAATGTGGACGTTGCGAAGAATGTTCCGCATACCATGGACATATAGGGTGAGAAACGAAGAAGTCTTAAGAAAGGCAAATACTGGGAGAAAAACTACTTAATTTGATCAAGGCAAGAGAGGAGTAGGTTGCAAACAAATTTCGTAGCCACGGAACATAAAAAACTGGACATGCATAAATAACACGATCTCTTGCATGCCGCAAAAACAGACGTCTGGCCTTAAGATAATTCGTCAATGGTGCACTGCATAGTAGGATAATCATTTAATTTTAGGAAAAATATGTTTGTTTTTATTTTAGACGATTACTTGCAATATTGTATAGAAAAAAAAACCGGAATTGAATTGGGTTAGAAAAAAAACTTTGGGTTAACTCGATTATCCAGCTTGGTCACTGTATATACACTTGAGTGCAAAAAAATCGACTCAAAATTTTGCGAAAGTACGTC